AGCACAACTTACTCGAGCACCAAGGGCTGGGAAGAATGGACGAGCTCGTCGTCCACCTGGACCCCGAGTACGACTTACTCGAGCACCAAGGGCTGGCAACAATGGAGCTCGTCTGCCGCACCTGCTCCCGCTCCGACTTCGAGCACCTGGGCCGATTGGCATCCGGCCCCGGCTCCGTCTTCACAAGGCTGGCAAGACTGGCAATCCACTAGCACATGCACTCCCACAACGGCTACGACAACTGTGTACATCACTCAGCCCGCCTCTACCGTGTACGTCACCACGACTGTGACCGAGTCCGAGACCACCACGGCTACGGTGACTAGCCCCTGCTCCACGACCGGATGGCAAGATTGGCACAGCGGCAAACCGAGCTCGGCTCCAGGCCAGAGCCAGGGATGGAAAAACTAAATTAAAATCCCTTTTCCATCACCCGTTCACCCGCCTCGGTAATGGAAAACAAAAACAAACAGTGAACAAAGCATAGATGGGACTCGGGAAATCGAGAACCACCTTCCCTTAACAAGAAGAATTGTCCAACAGTGACCACTAAAAGGAGGAGAAATACAATGCTGCCATGTCGTTGATGAGAAGCAAAGATTTTAATTGCCACACGCCATTTAACGGGAAACATGAATTTTTGGGGTGCACTGGGCGTATTTTATTACAGTTAGATGTCAGTCCCTCCTTAGGCTACACTTGCTAATGTTTATTGTTGTTTATCTACATTCGAAACTGCGATTTCAGATGGATATAACGTCAAATCAGGGAAGTTATAGTAACGTCATTATTCCAAAATACCACATAAAATATTCCCCTGGATTGATTTTCGTCCGATGGGCTTACGAGGCCACTCTATGGGGCTATAATATATAGCACCATTGGTCAACAGAATATAGGACACGTACACGCGTACGCATTGAGTCGTAGACGGCGAGCCGGATTCAACACATAAGTCGGGCACAGTCTGACAAAGTCGCGTGATGCACTATGATGAGATCGAAGGCAGCCTTGATTCACAACAAGGATGTGGTTTGCCTTGAGTCGCAGCGGTGCTCTGGCGTTCATCCTGCAGGGTCAGCGTCAGTTACATTCTGTTGAGCGGCCGCGGCGACATCAGTCGGTAGTCTTGGAATATGTATTTCCTGTCAGGCTGTGCCGCTTATTTGTGAATGCGGCTCGATGGACAGATACTCAGCAGAACATCTCCTTTTAGAGTGGATAGTCGATCGGGTAAAGGGCTGGGGACATCAAAAAGCATAAAGTGTGGTACGCTGTTTTAGTGGGAAGACATTTCTGGTGGACTCGCGATTCCATGCGCGGATTTCCATGTGCGGATTTCCATTTGGGAAACAGAATACAAGGAAAGTTGCATGGGCAAAATCATACATTTACTATATAGTCTTCCGGTTCCCAACCCCCATGCGCCAGAGCAGCCGCCGAGTCATCGAGGCCGAGGAAATACAATGTCACCGTGCCGATCGAGGGCCTTGCTTGTCTCCCTTCAGCCGGGAACGCCTTGGACTCGTAAAAGACGTTTCAAAGTCGGCCTATCCGATCCTTGGAGAAAACCGTGTTTTGAGAAAACAGCGCTGCAACCCGGTTGCCAGGCAATTATCCAGGTCCTTTGACTGGCTTCAAAGCCCCTGTGCAGCTTTCCCTCGGACTCCAGCGAGAGACGAGCGCAAGATTTCCAATGACCACTCGAGAATATCCAATTGACGTCCAGCTCCGACCAGTCCAGTTTCGCACATTCACATCGATCCTTGTATTGGCACAACGACGACCCATTCCACCCAGCTCACCTGGTGAGAAGTCAAACCAGCCTTCCCTCGGGTGCAACGTAGATTTGCGCTGAAACGCTCAGAGACAGAATATAAACACATCCTGTAGGTCGAGCCCAACGCCGCCGAGAAACAAAACATCGACACTAGCAAACACAACGAACCATCCGCTGCAGAAATCACCATTCAAAAATATCCACCCATTTTAAAACACCAGTGTAAAACCCCAAGTCATTGGCTCCGCGGATGTGGAGCTCCTCTATCATTCAAACCCGAGTTTGGATTTGTGTTGTTGCGTCATATGCAGATTTCGGGGGGGACCTGCTTGCTGCGTCCGAGCTCCGTCCTGGATCGAAGGCCTCGGTCTTGCTCTCAGGTTTCAACTTCCCCCATTGACATCACCCGCCCTCCCAGCCGTATGAAAATCGCTCTTTTCCATGGCAAAAGGTAAAAGGTCGTCATCATCGAAGCGGTTTTCTGGTCGACTTCCACTGCTTCTTCCTCGCCACGGCACGCTGACGCTGCTGCCGGCGCTACCGGCTCCTGGATCGATGCTACCGCGGGTTCCACCCATGCTTGACGTAGAGCCTTGAGGAGGTGTGGCTCGTCGTCCGACTCCGTTTCTGCTGGCAGCCTGGTTACGGTAAATATTGGCCGAGGATCGTCCCGATGCGGAGTCGGAAGCGCCGTCATCGTTCGTCAGGGCCGTTGCAAGGCTCGAATGACGATGAACCTGGGAGGATCGTCGAGGAGAGCCGATGGAGACTTGTCGGGATGGCTCTTGTCCTTCACCAGTAGCCCCATCGGCGTGATCTTGAGCAGACTCTCGGCGATGACTCCGACGATCGGCTCCCATACTGGCACTTCGCATCCCATATAGATCACCAATATCTTCGTCGGAGCTCAACGGCATTCGCTGGGCAGAACTGGAACGCTGGTAGGACGGAAAGGGTCTGGGAGAGTTGGGAATGTCAATGGCAGGCACATTGGATGTTGATTGAGCGTGTGCAGTCTCCTCTGTTGCGGCTTCAGACGGTGAAGGCGGCTCCTCGGGAGCCAGGCGATGCGGCTCGTCGGCATCATCATGGCTGTAAGCAGCGCTAAGGCGAGAGGGTGCAAAAGGTGTATGTGGTGTGTGAGGCGAAATTGGCTTTCCAGGAGAGGAAGAAGTTGAAATAGACGTTCCCGCCACCATAGGAGGGACCCCGGACAGCTGACGACTGGAAGAAGTGGACGATCTCTGCAACATTAATGATGATGACATGGAATCCGACAGCGCAGTATTGGAGTCTCGCATTCTGTGATATCGATTCAGAGCCGCGGCCGTTCTCCTCGTGTTCGCTTCGGCGGCAGTCGACGTTGTAGGAGTGAGAAGATCCTTCTGCAGTTCCAGCATCTTCAGGAAGCTGGAAATATTCTCCCCATCATCATCCGCCATCGACCCTGAGCTCCCACCTCCCGCAGCTCCTTCTGTCATCAAACCCGAACCAGGCTGGGCAGAAGAGGTGGCACTTCCTCTTCCACTGCTTGTCTGATCTTCGTCTGTGCGCACGGTGGTCCCGCCTGAGGAAAGCCTTGCCCGCCTGTGGCTAAAGCTACTGCTATACCTTGTGACTGGGGCGGGTTTTGGAGAACTCGAGGTCGACGAGGCAATGGCATTGTCCGAGGCAAGGGACCCAGCTCGTCGCCCGGCCAGGGTGACAGGAGCTGCTGCAGGGGGATGAATGCTCTCTTCCGTCAAGGAGCCCAGGGCGGGGAGTCGAGCAGAATGCGTTCTGGGCGAGCTGGCCATAGGAGAGACGCCAAGAGGGGACGCTGACAAAGTCGGTGTCTTGAACGGTTGGACGGAGAATGAGCTTGAGCTTCGTCGATTGGCAGCTACGGCTCGGAGCGAGTTTCGAGAGTTTTGGCCTGCTGGGTGTGAGGGTACGACCGGCCTGGCCGGTTCAGGAGTGGGAGGAGAGGAGCTTGCATTGAAATCTTGAGCGTTTCGCAAAGCAGAGATTGGGTCGGTCCCGGTCGCAATGCCTGCTTGATGGAAACTCGTCAGACTCCCATACGCATGACCCAGCTCTGCTTGCTCCAGTAACCTCTGTCGTCGGTCTGAAGGTAGCGATCCAATCTCCGTCCGGAGCACCTTGTCACCGGGTAACGACGGGCGGAACAGCTCGTCATCAGCGCCCAAGAAGCGGGAGCTCAACAGCTCTTCGGAGTCGTCTATCCGGAAATCGCAGTTCTGGCGATAATCAACCTTGACAGAAAAGGGTCCGGCAGGTGAATCTGTCACGCCAAAGTCGTAGGACAACAAGACGCCCGAGTTGCTGTCGAAGAGCCGCGTGCCGAGATTGTCGGAGCGAGACAAGCTTCTCATCCGCGACCCGTCCACCAATCTGTAGCCCAGCTTCAAGGCCATATGGGAGCGTCCTTTCCCTATCTTCCTCGACAGTTTCCACGCCGGAAGGAAATTGCTGTAGGTGTAGAGAGATCTGAAGAAGACGATGCTCTTTTTGTAGACCAAAGGGAGCACCATGGCAAGGTCGGGGGGAATGGGAGCCGTCGGTTCGCCAAGTTCGATGGTCCATCGCTCAAGGATGACTTCGTCAATGTCCGCCATTCGACGCTGGCTCCCGCGCGAAGCACTGCGGGCAGACATCAGGGTGTTCATGACATCCCATCTCTTGCCATCTTCGTCCACAATGACCAAGCGCTGTCCTTGCTGCAAGGACTCGGTGCTCAGGAAGATCTCTATGACCAACGGAGGAGGCCTGTTGTACTCCACATCGCAGGTCTTCCACCTCTTGATGTCATCCTTGTACTCATCCGTCTCCTCGATATCGATGTTGAACCAACGGTTCACTCTCTTGTTGTCGGTCTTCTGAGAGTAGGCCGGAGCCAGGTCGACGCGAGACTGAAGGATGATCAGGGCGGACTTGGTGTGGAAGTTCTGGATGACCTGATTGAGCCTCTGCATTTGGACGCCGGGGTTGTCCGCAGGTTGATCTTGACGGGCTGAAGCAAAGTCCTCTAAGGACCCGGAGCCTTGGGTGAGAGGAGAGTTTGTCCTTAGAGCGTGGACGTCTCGATCTCTTGGGTTGTTTGTGCGGCTGGGATTCGTTTGCTCAGAGGTTGCGGGGGAGGCTGTGATAGGAGGCGGACGAGGGTGTTGATGCATGTTGAGTCAAACTGGGTGTTTGAACGTAAAGGGTTGCTGTTGTTTTCACTTCCGGGTGCCTGGCTTAGCGTTGAAGGGGTGAGTTGGGAGTGGTCCGTATTCGATAGCCATCCATTGCTTTTCATTGATGTGATGATATCCACAAACGTATTCAGCGGTCTCGGGGCAAAGGTGTGGCTAGCGGTCAAGCCATGGGACGGGGAGGTTTGTCGTGCAAGGCTGATAGACGGAGTGAAATGGCAGACTAGAGGGATGAAGGGGCCATTGTGGCGTTGGACCAGGCGAGAGGATAATTGGGATGGAAATGGTCAGCGGAGGGTTGGGGATTGAGGTTGAGGTTCCCGTTCACGATGGTCTCGAGTCGAGGGCATATGACGGAGGCCGCATGTGATTGGAGGTCGCGCGGGCTGGCGGCGTGAGGTACTTTGGGCCAGGGTCAGATGGGGTCATGCGATGAAGGATAGGATAGGATCAGATCAAGGTGAGCAGGCAACAATCAACAAGTGATTGGGGGTGGAGAAGGACTGCGGAAGGAGGAGAAGGAAGAAAGAAGGGGAGAGAGATAAGTACACGAAGAGTCATCGATGTCGGGAAAAATGTATATCGAGGGCGGATGGTGGATGGGAGCAGTTGTGCTAGTAGCAGCTTTCACGCATCATGCGTCCTGGGGGGCAGAGAGGAGCGAGGGTGCAGGGAGCGCAGACAGGTGCAAGAAGGTGGGAGCTGTTGGACGAAATGAGTTTAGTACCTGACTACTGAGTAATTGTACGATCTCTTGGCCGTTGGGCTGTTGGACTGACTTTGTTGGACAGCCGGCGATGGCCTGGGCATCCTGGGGTGGCTTGCGGTGGCCTGGTGTGGCCGGTGAACGAAACCTTGATCGAACAAATGTGTACCTGCCTCGTACAGGGCAGTACATATCACCAGGATGAGATCGTTATGTAGGTAGAGCTGGAGCGTACCGAGTACCGAGCACCTAACGAGCGAGTGATGACGGTCTTCAATATTATTTCAACACACAACAGCAGACACATTCCTTTCATCCACGTTCTTCTTCTTCTTCTTCTTCTTCTTCTTCTTCCCCTTCCCCGTCCTCTCCTCCTCCATCCTTTGTCCTTCATCCTCCTCCTCCTCATCTCCCATCACCGCTCTTGTTCGTCCACCACCACCACCGCCCTCCGAACTAGCCAGCGATCAGATGTACTGATATGCATGACCCTAGCAGGCCCGCCTGCATCGCCTGCATCGTACCTTAATCCCTGTGGATGGAACCCCTATCCCCCTGCGCCCCATAGGCTGCTTTATTTTGACCGACATGCATCTCTGTCGTGCCGTCGTGCCGTCATGGCCCCTTCTGCAGCCCGTCTGGCGATTGAAATTCTCCCACGCACACCATCTCGACATGTCGACTTACATTTCGGATGCCACATGTTTGCTTATGTAGGTCGTAGGTCGTCAAACACACCTCGCCCACCCTCCATCCATTCACTCTCCATATCGCCCACAAACTCCCTTACCATTCCCCGACCAGAAAAGCCGCCGTCCTTCCTTTCAGTCCTCGCGTCACAGCCCAACTGGTTTGCAAACCACATGTAACCCACCTCTATCCGCAATCCGCCCGTCACTACGCCGCCTTCTCCTTCCGCGTGGCACTAGGCGGATACCTAAGGTCCTCGTTTGGCCCAAGGGAAAAATACTAAAGTACCCCTTCGTCACTCGAATGGATTCTTGGAGTCAATGATGGTTGTCGCTTGAAAATAACCAGGCTGACGGGATGGATCATATCAACTCAGGCTTCCTCTCTCCTCCACCACACAACACTCAAGTTCGGATGGGAACAACCGGGAAACAATTGCCCTCTTTGTGCTTGTCTCTTCTGCCTACGGACTTGGCCCCGTCCTCCTCATAGCTAGTGGAAGGCATCAGTGGTGGGATTGTCGTTGGATGCAGACAGCCTAGATCTCGACCTCGACTTTATTTTTTTTTTTATTTCCAGGCAAACGCACTTTGGTGGCCTTTTGTGTGCGGTCCACTGTACTTGGTAGAGCGCAGGTGCTAAAGATGGCAATTGGGACTGGCAGCCTGCTAGAGCTTTCCCGTGTCTGGTATGGTACGCCGTCCCCATCGACGCCGGACCTGGTTACGCGAAGAGAGGTTCAATCCCGCTATGGCAGGAGAGAAATAGCGTTGACGGGAGCTGTTCCTCTCTGCTAGCCAGAGTCCCATGCAGCCCTCGGGGATCGAAAGGATCCCTGTCGGTTGGTCCCAAGGCAGAAAAGCAGCTTTGGTGGCATTCCTTGTCCCACTACCGAGTACTCCTAGCCTAGTTCGGTACAACTGTCGAGTCCCTCTCCCCACGTCCTCACAAAAGCAAATCCTTCTATGATTATGTACAAAGGTGTTGTTCCAATTCTCGTCCTTTGTTGGTCCTCTATGACTCTTTCATCATTGATGCCTTGCCCCCTCGATGCGGATGCTGGGACTTTCCTTGACCCCGAGCCCGTCCACTGCTGGCACTGCCTCGGGACACACTGCCAGGCCCAATTCCTCGCCCAGATTCAGACGCCTGTCTCACCGTCGCCGATTCTGTTGAAGTTTGCTTCTTCTGCTGCTGCCCACTAGCTTCAACATCCAGAGTCCCTTTTCCGCGTCCTCCTCCTCCTCGAAGATGTCCGCCTCGTCCACGGCCACCTTTCCCACGACGAGCAGCAGCCGCGTTGGCCTGCGCCTCTTCTTCTTGCACTCGCCGGCTCTCATTGTCCCACCATTCTTGAAATTCCTGTTCCTGCTGAATCTCTTGGAGTGACTTCTTCGCCACCGCTTCCTTGACCGCGATCTTTTCTATTTGCTGCTGCGCCAAGATCTCGGCCATTGATGTGCGGGCGTCAACCGCTGAGACTTTGGTTGGCAACGGCGTGTGGCGGATCGATTGGATTTGCGGAGCTGCTGGTTTCGGAGGTGCTGTAAGACTGCTTGCAGGGCCGGCACCACTTGGACCCTTGGGCGAGGAACCGGTAGTCGAGAAGCCTCTGGCCACAGTTTGACGCATTGTCATTGGCTGCTTCGCCAGGGCCTCTTTGACCGCCTCGATTGGTGCCGATATAGTCGGTGAGGAGTTGGGCTTGGGTGTCTTTGCAATCGCCTGCCATGGTGAAGGAGCGGTTGTTGCGGGTTTCAGGGACGAAGGCCCCGAGGGTTTGGCACCTTGCTCTTTCATTTGTTGTTGCTGTCGCTTGCGCTCCTTCTGCGAAACTTTGACCGTTGCCTTTGATCCCGTCGAGACCGTCCGCATGGCTTGAGTCAAATTTGACACCCGAGCTGCTGAGGCTTGCTCCATAATGTCTTTGAGACCGTCTTTCTTTACGCCTTGAGTGGGAACTTGCCATGCAGTTCTCCGTGCTTCAAATCCGCTGGTCGGCGTTGCAGTTACGGCGGAATCTAGCATGTCCTCACCATCGAGTATTGGCGAACTGGGGAATACCTCATGCGACCTACTGGTCGAAGAAGGCGAATCATTTACCGGGAGTCTTGTTGTTGTCAAAGACTCGGCCGTGCCTCCCCGAGACAGCCGCCTTCTCGCAGAATGAGGTTGCAGACTCTCGCCAGCTGGAGCCGGAAGAAGCTCGGGGTCATCCCCATCCATGTCGAATGGTAAATCATCTCCTGCATCGTTTGCCCTAATCGCGGGGCTAGGGCTTGGAGTGCTAGGTGGCGATAAATCCATGGAGGTTGGCAATGGGCTCTTGTTCCGAGGCGAACAGCCCGAGCGTTCCAGACTCCCATAGCGCGTCTTGATCGACGCTGAATAACGTTCCTCGTCCTCAAATAGCCTTGATCTCAACCGCATAGAATCTATCCTCCTCTGTCGGCCTTTCTCAATCTGGCTTAACAGGCCGGGATAGTTCTCCAGCAAGTCTGCCTCAGCCCGATCGCTACGAGCGAAGGGAAGGAAAGCTAACTGGTTCGCTTGGACGACCTTATCTAGTTCAAGCAGCAGATCTTCATCCAATTCGTCAAGTAACTTCAGCTCCAACATGCTTTCCAGATTCAGGCAAATGTATTCGAGTGCGGCATTCTTGAAGTTGTCAACTCTGCACTCGGCGATTATGTTGACCAAGGAGCACACATTTCTGATATTGACGTATCTGCCGAGAATCTTTTGGCATATTTGTGCGAGGCGATCGAGCATAAGCTCGTTGGCTACCGACATTAGCTCGATGACAATGTCGACAAATTCGTCCAAACTATTGGTGACAATATCGTCAAAAAGCTCCTCTCCAGTATCAGCATAAAGATATCGTAGCACCATAACGAAGATCTTCTCGTCGATATGCTTCAGGTCTACACGTACAGCCTCTGATTCTTCTTCGGCCGTATTTCGTCGTGAAGCCATCCACATACCGCCGGCTCGCCCATTAAAAAGACTGTCAAAGAAGGGGCAACGACTGCACAACAAGACACTATGTGCGGGTAACTCGGCATCGTTGGCGAGTTCAACGACCACGTCGGCGTCTGAGAAGAAATCAGGATCCAACACTGCAAGCTCCATGTCGTTTGCAAGACTTCGGGCGGGGTCAACCATCACTCTCACGGCACGTTCAAGCCCTCGCATTTCAAGGTGGTTTGCCAGTTTCATAAGTTCGACCCGTACTGACCTGTAACGAGGAGCGGATTGTAATGCCTTCGAGGTATAATGCCAGACGTCCACCAAACTGTCGGTGTACAGGTACAGTACAAGGTTAACGAGAGTCAGGAAGTCCGCACCTTGCAATGAGACTTGTATCAGGCCGTCTTGGCCATATTCGATTGACATGACATCAGCAATAGAGTAGTAATACGTCTCTTGGACTTCAGTCAACGCCTTGCGCATGGCCCGGCTCCTACCTTTGAGGATAAAGGAGTGGACAGGGATTCGAACATCAGTGACGGTAGAAGTGATCCATAAGTCGTATTGACTTTGGGAAAGAGGTTCGTACCGCTGACACATGTTGAGGATGTCTGTTTCCGCCGAGCTTCTGGTGATCAGAGCATGAGCAACTCGAAATGCGTCGACCTTCGACTCCGCCACCGTCTCCGCCATTCCGTATTCTCGGAAAGGTAGTAAGCCGAAGGTATCTCTCCACAAGGCTGGTACGACCGGTACGATCTGGTCGCGCGTTGTACTGACGTCCTTACGCACAGCTGCAAAGGCGCCAAAAGCATTGCTCCTGACGGCGATGACCCCCGTCAGATTGGGAATGCGGACGAATTTGTAGTCTTTCGGACGTGCGGAACCCGACTTTGTGTCTCGTACAGTCTTGATGTTTGCACGCTTTTCCTTGCGCCAAGCGGAGCCTGATGCTGTGCAGAGGATTATGGAGCCATCCTGACCCACAGCAACGTCAATTGCCGACATGTGAGCTTTGCGCAGGGACCAGAGGCGTGATGGTGCAGGCAGAGCGTTGCGTGCCTTGGTAGGATTGGTCGTTGACACGTTTGATGGTACAGTTTCCGAACCCTTGGGAACATCGATCGAATATACTTCTCCAAAGGATGACAATGCACAGATTGTATTGCCACCACTAGTTATGTGCTTGATGTAGTTAGATTCCATGTTGAATCTAGTTGACAGATCATCGGCCATATAGTAGTTCGTAAAGGTCTCCAGAGGGAATATGAGTTTCGTCCAACCATATTGTGTGAAGACAATCACATCGTGATTTTCGAGTAGAACAATCGTAGCTCGGTCGATTGCGCTAACCGATTGAATTGGAGATTGCAAGACCGACACCCCAACTCGACGTGGTAGCACCTGCACTTCCAGTGAGCGTGCCTCAGCATCCGTTAAGCCCAGTTGGCCCTCGTTCTTGCCGAATGTGTACAGAGCAGAGGATGTGTATATGGCAGAATGGATAGCGGATGCTGCGGCCCCAATGATGATTTCCTTTTTGATGTAGCCGAAAAGTTGACGCGGAATTAATTGGGTCGGGACCTCATTCTTGGGTACCTCAGGAAGAGCATATCCCAACTGCCCAAAGCGGTTGCTTCCCCATGTGTACACCTCGCCCTGAGAGCACACAGCCACAGAGTGATCTTGGCCAAGAGCTATCGACGAAATGCGCCTTTTGGCCAAGCCTCCAGCTTGAATGCAGCGATATGTGAAACTGGTGTTTTCGTCACCAGTACCAAGGCGGCCACCAGGACCATACCCACATATGTACAGGTTGGAGATGGGGTCGTTGGTCAGGACGGCCGTGTGAAGCTTCGACATGACCACATTTTGAATCGTGATGGGCCGATAACGGACAACAGCCGGCAGATCTGGATGAGACTGGAGATCCCCAACACTGTCCGCCATGTCTTCGTGCACCCACGCTTTCCGTCTTTCAGCAAGATGGTCGTCGAACAGACGGCGCAGCAAGTGGTCGGGGCGTTCAAAGTGAAGGCACTCAGGAAAATGCCTATCGTCCCCATCGCCCAGACCAAGTGATAGGTTTTTGTTGCTTCCAAATGCGTAGACCTCATCACCAACCAGATCTATTAGAGGGTTCACATGACGCTTAGATAGTTCATGAACCTGATGGTCACCGCTATCGTCCACGCCATTGATGCTATCGTCATCACGAAGCCCAGACGGGAGAGCAGAGGAATCGCGGTGGAGAGACCGGGGCGCGATCGTCAGTCCAAATACCTCAAAAGGACTGTTGCCTTCGTGATCTTTGATCTTAACCAATCCTCCGGCATGGGCACGCTGAGCGTTGGTTGTGTAATCCGTTGCATCTTGTATGTCCCGAGCCATGAGAGCATGCGCAATTGAAATATTGCCAAAGTATAGTGCTCGATGGAGGGGTGTCCAACCGCTTTCTAAATCCTGGACGTAGAGATCCAAGAAGGGCGTTTCCAATAAAGCCTTGACAAAAGCCAGAGCATCCTCCGAGTGCGATGACGCAGCATGATGCAGGATCGTGCGTCCGAAACTGTCCTTCGTGTTCACTTCAGCCCTCGTGAGCACCAATCCGGCGTTTTTCCCAAGCGTCGCGCTGGTAGGAGTGGTTCCCAAGCTCTTTCGAAACTTGAACGGCGTCTTCGGAGAGACCGCCAGATTCCCTGGACTACCTATCTTCAAGGTAGCGCCGCCAATTTGTCCGGTGCTCGTGGTTCTCGACGTAACGGAGAAGGTGGCGTTAGCCAGGTACTGTCGAAAGGAATCGACATCATCTTCGAAGAAATAGCGCCACAGATTGTAGCTCATGTGTCTGACCGAGTTGATGAGGTCTCCGGTGACCTTAGACGCGCCTCGCTGTAACCTCGACGGATTACGGCGTATTTAAAGGCGCGGAAGGTCGATCGGAGACGAGGGGAATAGGGTGAATAAGAATGACTCAAGCCGAGATCATAGTGGCGGGCATTTGAGCGTCTTCGGTCCCGATGATAGGTTTATTGGTATTCAGAAAGGTGTTTCTGCAGAGGATCGCGACCGGTAACAGAGGGGCTGGACGAGGGAAGAGTGGCTGATTTATGGAGGGGTGTAAGAGAAAGTCATGTCGTAGCTCGTGGTCGCGGTTGCGGGTTGCGGTTGCGGGTTGCGGTTGCGATAACTATGCGGAGCGGCGCAGGTGCTTGGATGATGGGTGAGGATGGCCTTGCGGCCAATCACATGGCCTCGTGCCAATACGAGCCCCGTGTGGTGGAAAAGCCATCTTGTCCTAGTGACGGGCTCATGGAAGAGTAGATGTCCTTAAGAATAAACCTCTCTGATAGCATGGCCTTTTGTGAAGTGACACCAGGGGGAGGAGGGGTAAAGTTGTCTGGTTGACTGACGTGCTTCATAATGGGACCCAGGATCTAAAAACACTGGGCTCTAGAAAGAGCGGTGTACCTAGTTCACAGCTACCTGGACACCGACAAGTAGCCAAGTACTCCCTACATGTGGGGTCGATTGATGTTCAATTGATCTTATGCTTGGTATCTGTGCATGATTCATGTACCACTCTGCCAAACTAACTTCAGAAATATTGGACGGGCATGCAGCTCAATGTTCTAAAGCCCCATGATCCCGGCCGCAAGTCCCAGCCCTAGCAGAGCCGCAGTCGGAACAGCGGCATTGTTGGCTGCTGCAGAGGAAGATGTGGACCCCGCAGTTGTTGTCGATGATGAGGTGGTTAAGCTGAATGTCGGCGTACCGGCGAGGATCATGCTCGAGCCTTGGATACTGGCAGTTGGAACACCTGTCTCTGCGGCGACTGCCGTGAGTTGAGTTCCTGTAGCGGTAGCGGTGGCTGTGGCACTCGGTATGTTTGTTCCCGTCGGGATCACAATGATACTACTCGTGCCTGCCTCGTTTTCAACTGCCTGGGCAAGCGCCGCAACCTTGTTGTCGATATCAAAGACCGCATACGCGCTTCTCAAGAAACTGTCGCCCAGGATGCTGAACCCGCCACTGTCGGCCGGGGTGCCGAAAGCAAGAACACAACCTCCTGATGGATCGTCAAACTGGGAGGATGTGTATCCCTGACCCCCGACCACCTGCGAGACGGGGACTTGGATTGTCACGCCGCCGTCGCCGCCAAACGAATAATTGATGGTACCGTTGGCCGTGGAAAGGCTACACGGGATCAGATAGGCTTGTCCAGAAGGATCTGTCACTGCCCCCAATCCGAGGGCCAATCCGGTAAAGACGTCGTCGGTCAAAAGGGTGTTTGTCGTACCGGAATCAAGCAATGTAGCCTGCGAATATCCTTGAGGCGACAACTGCGTAGTCTGACCTGTCGAATCCGTGAAAGAGACGCTGGTTAGGGTGACATAATACTCGGACACGATTCCCTCCGGGCCGGGCTGCAGAGGAAGGGCGACAAGGTCTCCTGAATACTTCGTCGTGTCGATGCCGCCGAAGATAACAGCACCCGTTGTGGCTTCGAAGTCGTTCAAGTACAAGCTGAAGGCTTTGCGATTGATGATTCCGGACGACTTGAGATTGTCCAGAACTGTGGGATAGACCCCAGTTGGACTGTCGTTGTTGGCTTCATTGGTGTCAAATCCAATTCCCATGACTCCATGTGGATCAAATAGCTGAGATGCTACTCCGATCTGTTGGCTCTCAATAGAAGGAGATCCTCCAACTGTGATGGTGTCGGAACCCCAGTCGCCAGCGTCAGTGTCTCCTGGTGCTGCATATGTCTGAGAAATGATGTGTCAGTCAGACTCCTGAACTCAATGTTTGTGCTTTGACGATGGAGCACAGCGGCTTACGATATTGAATCCCCCTTGCTCGATAACCTTGTAAGTGCTTGATGCACTCGGATCAAAGTCGCCCAAGTCGCATTGGCCCTGCTTGCAGAGTTCTGCTGAGGATGCGGGAATCCAAAGATCAGAGGAGCCGGTATCTAGAGTGACTCCGAGATCCTGTGGAGGTGTGCCGACAGTAATATTCACCAAGTATTCGAGTTTGTTGGTGTTTTGTGTCAGCACCGTGTCGACACTCCCGTCTGGGTTTTGTCTGCGTATTAACCTGCCTTCATAGGGACTCCGTCTCTGTAGGTCGAGTTTGAGATAGCCTGGCGAGGCGACACATGAGGTCGCAAGAGCCACAATGGTAACTCCGGCAAGAAGACGCATCCTGGGATGGTTTGACCGCTAGCCGGTGAGCAAGCAAAGCTATGGCTGTTGAATGAAGATCGAGTTGAGGGAAGGAAAAATGGAACCAATAACGGCTGTCTTATGTACACATGAGCAGCAGAGAATGGAGGACCAGATGGCGTTGGCTGACTTTTTGTTACACGGCTACAAGGGAGCGAGAGAGAGTAGTGGACAGTGGAACACTGGCAGTACGGAGTTCGGGGGCCAAATGGAGAATAGAGGAGTGGTTGAACTTGCTGGCATTTGTTTTCCTGTACCCTGTACGAGGTAAGTGTATGGGAGGTCAGCGCTGATGGCTCCGGGTTACGAACTGCGAGCTGAACTGCACAAGTAGCAGCCCAACGGCCCATGTCATCGCCACAGCTTCCCATCGTTTGTGCTTGTTTACCGGGTGCCTTGTTTCTATCAGCCTGGCCAGCAGGGAAAGGGAAAGAGAAAGGGAAAGGGAAAGAGAATGGATTACTAGTACTCGGTATCACAAGGGACGAATTTGACCTAGCCCTCACCTTCCAAGGCCCCTAGGCTCGCTTGACCGCGCCGGGTCAGCTGAAGCATGGTTAAGCACGGTTCCCGGTGACACTAACTCAAATTCACCTCAGCCCAGCGTTGCAGTAGGTGATTTCGGCAGCCCTGTGACAGGATCCTTAGGTAGCTCCAGTTAGGGGGCCAAGTAGCCGAATGAGGGCTCTCAGGCCTCCCCTAAGCTTCAAACCCAATGCTTAAAAGGCCGCCAAATCTTAGCATCATCCGCCCCTGAATGGCTAGGTAGGCAGAAAGAAAGGCAAAGCATTCCTACATAGCAACTACTCGGTACATAGATACATAATCTAGAGCAGCTTCTCTCATTCCATCTCCTCCTTTAGATTACATTCGCTAAGGCAAATTTCCGTATCCAACCATTGTCCAACGCATGGAACACCGGAAAGCCAACTTGGAGTCAAGGAAACCTGCTAAATGATCGGCCGTCCAGAAAGTCACGGTGCTTCTCTTGTTTTGTTTTGTCTGCTTCAGTCTTCGCACATCATTCCTGTTTTCCAAAAGTGCTTATGTTGATTGCTTCAGGTTCTCTTGTCTTTCCCCAAAACCCGTTCATCACGGCTCCAGATGGCAACAGCGGCTGCTCCACACGGACCGAGCAAAGCTGTGATTAGGATTGTTTTAATGACTTCGATCAAGGTTTGAATAATTGTCGCCTTGCCATGTTTGCTTGCATCTCGCACTGTCAAACCCCACAGAAGCGAGGCCGATACGCCGACGACAATGTCCCACTGTAGGAACCACAAAGCACCATCGGCTAGGACCTTGACTTGTGGCTGTCCAAATGGCACGACAGGGACAAAGATCCTGGCGGGTTGAAGCTGCGGAAGGTAGGTGGTGCTGAATAGGACGGGGAAGAGGTAAGCCAGCCCGGACAAACTGAACGCCGCCAGGTGGGAGCCAGCCGATGATATGATTGCAAACGCGTACGCCAGTCGGAGATACCTGGCACTCTTCAATCTCTTGTCGTTTTCGGTTTGGACGGAGGCCCGTTGATCGATGGTTAGAACCAGAGTGGTCAGGATAAGTTGTGTCAGCCCAATCCAGATCGACCAACCCTGCTGAATACCAGTCCACGTCTGTTTGGTCTCGAAGGACACCACGGTAGGAGCTGGGAGGCACATCAGAAGGGATGGAAGCCCGAATCCAACGAGGATGCTGATCGGAGCAATGGCGATTTTAATGGGTATGTCAACATCAAGTTGATAGTCCTTGGGATTAACAACCGTGGGAGAAGTCCACAGGTGCAGAGCAAACCACAAGGGTGCGACGCAAGCATAGCCCACAATAGCAACTCCTACACCAAACAATGTCGTCCTGGGGAAGGTAAGATTGAGCCATAAAGAGTATAAGACTGGGGTTCACACTTACGCAGTGAGGAAGAATTTCCCTCTGTTACCGTTTCTGAGGCCCTCAACCATGATCAAAACCCAGGCTGCAAGCACCTGGCCACCGAGGTAGAGAAAGGACAAAGAGACATCAGCCCGATTGCCATCGATAGCAGTGTAGAAGAAGCTGACCAAGACGGTCAATTGCTTATCGATAACGCCAATGCCAGTATAGGTCTGCTTCATAGGAGCTACAGTAGGACCAGGAATGACAGCCCCTGGCTCTGATTGCTGGCCCAAGATCTTGAGAAGGCCATTTTGATATGGAAATCCCCATAGCGTCCAGAAGCCGGCCAGGGACAGCAAAATCAATAAGGCTTTCGAGAAAGTCAGCGCCATGGCTGGACAATGGTTCGTGTGAGGATAAGAGGGTACTTCGGGAGAATCTGAACAGGACCAGCGTCCGTCAGAGGAAAAGAGAGAGATGTGAGAGAGGCTCAGAACGATGGAAGTCTGGCTGATGAGGGAAATAAGAAGAGATGGCAGCCTGGGGTGACTCGTAGAAGGCGAAGAGGGGGATTTTCAGCTTGTCGCGTCTCAGCCTCAAGCCCCCAAGCCTGGGCGTCAGCTTCCAATGACGATTGAGCGGTAGTCAGACGCCTTGCGGAAGGAAATGCAGGACAGGGTATCTCAGGCTCAGCAGTGGTGGAACATGCCACCCCGCTGCCTTCTTTCGACCGTCTGCATAACTTGTTCAGTCGGTGCGAACTGCCAGAGGGTAATTTGCCTTCGTGTTTCGACCCTCTTTTCCTCCATTGTCGCCTGCCTCGCTGCCTACTGGGTAATGCACATGCCGTTGAGTTGCCGGCAGGCGCCGGGACTAATTATACGACTAGTACTAATAGGTGCTAGCTTCGTCTAAGTTGCTTCTGCTTATATAAGCAGAACTGTACCAAGCTATTTTCGTCATTTTTGATGCCTTCGTCAAACTTCGCATCTCGTGTCCGACAACGCCCAGTAATCCTTAGCTTCATCCATGTCTGTCGTTGCTCCTGCCGATGTATGACTTCTCAGATACACTTCGACTTCCGCCGCGACAATGCTGAAGCGAAAGCGCGATAATGATGACCAGAATGTGCCTGAAAAAGAGCACCAGTACCTTGGGTTAAAGGTCTCTGGGCTGAGGGCCAGAGTCGCTCGAGGCGTCAAGAGCCTCCACAATGCTCTGAAGCTTGCTCGAGGCTTCGAGAAGCAGAAGCTGGGCCGCCGTCAAAAGAATGCGAGCGACAACCCTCAAACGTTGCTGCGACTGCGAGAAGAAGTCATTGTTCTCAAACAGCTGCAACTCGAACAAACGGCGAAGAACCAACTTCTCAAGCACTTAGCCAGGACAAAACGTATCAGGGAGCATCCGGTGTTTATCAAGGCCTTTGGACCGGAACCTGTACTAGAGCACGTCAAGTCCACTGCCGAGGCAAATGTGATCGGAAGATTATTCAATTCGAATCCTGTTAAACAGGTTTTACCTGGGATTATGAAAACGATATATGAGGCTCTTGGGATTCCTCAGGCTGGGCAAGTTGCTTCAAAGCAGTCAAAGGAAACAGCCAGTAACGTGATCAATTCAGGTGCAAGTTCAGGAGGAGAGGATGGATTCAATGTGTCTCGGACCGGCGGCTCCGAAGACCCGAAGAGTGGAGGATTTAAGGAGTTATATGGGCCAGAACTCAAGGATGACGACATTCTCGAGTACGCAAAAGGTCGCCTAGCGTCTTCCGAAGAGGAATCTGAGGAGGAAGTCACCGAGGACGGGTTGGGTCTACGGCAAAAAGACGCCAAACGAACAGCTGGCTCTGGAAGATATGCTAGAAACGAAGATCTCTCAATAACACCATTTCCGAGTGAAACGCCTGAGCCCGACGGTGGACGCCCTCGAGAGGCAGAGCCGACGAAACCCATAACCAAGACCGCATTTTTGCCGTCTCTCAGCATGGCAGGCTACTATTCTGGATCGGAATCTGAAGATGACACGAATGGCTACCGCGGTCCGGCAATGCCTAAACCCAGAAAGAATCGACGTGGGCAACGCGCCCGACAGCAGATAGCAGAGCTTAAATTTGGCAAAAATGCCAAACACCTCGAGAAGCAAAAGGGTCAGGATGAAAGAAATACAGGATGGGACCCAAAGAGAGGCGCGGTGGGTCAATCCGACAACCCTAGAGACCGGTCCCGCAAGGGGAAACTCAATCAGAAGCCGACAGGAGGCCATGTAGTCGCCCGCTCAGATCAAGCACCAAAGCCGAAGCCGAAGTTGCGAGATGATCATGGACCTCTTCATCCTTCTTGGGAAGCCGCGAAGAGACGAAAGTTGCAGGATCAAAGCCAGGCCACCTTCCAGGGCAAGCGAATGATATTTGATTAATTAGCGGTAACCGTTGAATCTGTGAGACTTGCTTGTACTACGAGTCCTCTCTCATGGCAATCACTGGTGAAATCAAGAACCCCATTCCGTGATCGCTCCTTTGGTGATAACAGGTCCACAAGAATATAAGAGCAATTCCACATTCTAGATCTTTACGACAACATATTGCAAAGTCAATTGACAAGTCCGGCGTCCTTAGGATCAGATCTAGGCTACAAAGCGAATTTTCGCCAGCAATCGAGCTTCGCAGGATATGTCCACAAGCTTTTCTTAACTACAGTGCTTTAAAAGAGGACTACGAGCTTAGCGCGCAGATTCTGAATCAACTTTTTCCACGTATAATTTTTGAACCTTGGTTAGGGCGGAGAGCGACACTCGAAGGGAAGAGCTACAATGCTTTGATACATTACTGCAAGTCTAAGTGCTCAAAAGAAGTCAAGCACGCCGCAACATTGGCCGAGACTCTTTCGGCGTGGGATTGCTGGGCCTGGTTCCTTCTTCCTCCTAATATGTCGGAGGCTGAGTGATTATTATCTTTACTAGCTCTCCTCAGTACATAACATACGAGAAGAATTACTGGGATATTGCCGAGAGTCGGAGTCAGTCATCTACCTGGGCTTCTTTGCACCACCTAGTCCTCAGCTGATTAAGGCGACGAGGACAGCGGCATATGCAGCATATGCTCCAAATATCTCGGCTCTCCGCCCATGCGTCAAGAAGCCAACACATAAGGCGAATACCCCAGTATATCCTACGATAAAACCAAGCCGTTTCGTGTTGCTCTCGATGTTGCAGAGGCTGAACATGGCTCCGAAAAGCAGTAACACTGCTAGGATGATGTATATCATGGGGACGCACATGTTGAGCCGGCGCCCAGAGTAATTCGATAATGGATCATCAACACTTGAGCTTTGGTTCTGGTTCTGGTTCTCAATATCAGACTTTGGTACGCCCTTCTATACTAACTGATCAGCATTCTCCAATCAATCTAAGGTTTCAAATACTGACAGCAAAAAAAGACGGGAAGTGTGCTTTGCATGAATCTGGTCAGTCGGCCATGGTTTGTGACCACCCTAAGAGATACGAGGCCGTTTGCTCCGTCAAATATCTTTGCGTTCCGACCATTGAGTGCCGGAGTACCTGGCGCCAAGGTTCTGGAAGCATTGTTGAAACAGTTTCGAATAGCCTCGAGGGTTCGGCGAGCTGGTCGCTCAATCGCTCTGACTTGGTGCTCCAACACGAGCATCTCTCCTGGATGGTGTCAGTGTACAGAGCTCCCAGCTCGATGACGGACCCCCGATATTACGTCCCTATGTATCTCAGCTTGAGAACAAGGTGAATTCTCTCTTGGATCTGCGAACGACTTGGCTCATCGACATCGGCGTCGACACTCATGCTGGTCCAATTCCTCAACCCGACCTTGAGATTCAATGGAGCCTGGATATGCGCAATGTCTAACTCTTTAAGCCGCTCCTCGATCTCAAGGAGCTCGCTCTGGAGATACAAGAGATTCCGAACTCCAAGCTCGCCAAATCTGCGCATGATGCATAAGTTCCGATCTTTGTCGCAGATCATGAACCGTGCCAGACAACTATAACCATCTATGTGGCTCATGGGACCGCGTCTAAGTTTGGTCACTGTCCCTTGGACAAGGTTAGTAGCGTGGTTCCGTTGACAGCCTTGAACTTCTGGAACTCCACGGAAAATTAATCACATGGACAAGAAGGTGACAGACAGATGTATTGCCATTAGCTGTTATTCTCACCCCCCGGACAGCAGGGCAAAATCGGGTGTCATCTTGCCCCTCTTTATTTTTGATCGTCTCGAACACATTCCTCGAGCACATCAGAGCATTCACTTTGACTCCAAGAGCCTTTTGAGGGGTTGAATAAGTCCTCTATTATGGAGAAGCTGCAAAAGTCTCTAGCCGCCCTCCTAGACGTGGACCTATTGACTTTTGATCAGGCGTAGGAGTACTTCCTCCCCAACTCTCCAGCCTTCGAGCCGGTCCAGCCTTCTTTCGAGGGTATAGAAGATGCGTTTCTTCGAAGAAAACTCTTTTACCGCCGAAAGACACTCCATGAACTACTGGTCGCAGGACTCGACGAAAGAACAATGACTGAGACCCACTTCGAGCTAGCCTCAGAACCTAAATGCAATGCCTCTAAAGAAGACGACATGGATAACCTAGTCTTCGTTGAAAAGGTTCAGTATGCGCGTTTATCCAAGCATCTACCGCCTATTCCTCATCGTCCCGAATGGCAGACAGAAGGAAGCACTCGACCGAATGGCAGGCGATCTAAATTCAAGTGCGGTGTACGAATAATCTTGAAAGAGTCGGAAGTTGTTTCCTGTCCTGACACCGGTTCTGAACAGAACATCCTGTCGAAGGAGACCGCAACGCAGCTTGGGATCCTGGACCGATTAGACTCGAGCCGCTCGAGCAGGTCCATCTTGGGGAACGGCATAGGTGCGCAGTTTCTAGGAACTGTTGACATGGAGCTCCATTTCCCCCAGGGCCCGAAAATGTTGCCCAAATGCACGTTCCATATGTTTGAAAGCTTGATACGCCTAGCAATTCTAGGTAGTGTTTTTCCGAGACATACCGAGCCTCTGACAAAGCATTGCCAACTCCGTCTGCACGAGAGACCTGTACAAATTTCGTCTCTTTTGCAGGTCATGCACGTTGACGCAGCCAGGGAAAGGTTCAGATGTTATATGGATAACAACCTGGTGGATGCCGACGTCGACACCGGTTCTGAAATGGATCTAGTATCCAAGCAGTCCGTTCGGAAGTCTTCCCAGCGCGTAAGGGCTCTGCAGGATCGCCGACTTGTGGAATTCGCCGATGGAAGCATTGGCTGGATATCCTATCAGATATTTGCCAGGTTCTCTTGTGACCTGGAACGACCCAGGTCTGAATAGACCTGTAAATGGTTCTAAGTCCTGCAGGGTCTTCCTTGCGAGATCCTCCTAGGAGAGGAGACTCTCGACTATGTGGACGTATTCAATCGAGAGACGTCCTTCTCCATGGAGATATTGGTCGTGGACGGCATTGAGCTGTGTACCATATTTTGAACCCGTTATCTCGAGCGAAAAAATGACCGCAGTGTTGAGAATCAACCGGAAGGGTCAACAAGCGAAGAGAAAGAATGACGCAGGCGGAAGGCTCATGCCCCCTTCTCCGGCTACTCTGACGTATCTCTTCATAGAAGCAGTGAATTAAACTGCAGAAGTTTCGCTTACCTTCGAAATGCTTTCTGGTCAATGTCGAGCCCAAGTTTCGCGAGTGCAGGGGGGAAATGCTCGCTGGAAGGGGAGTGCCGTCAGATCAATCCTCTTGTAACCTGTCTCTTTTTAGGCCGATATGAAGGACTTTATTCTCGCGTAGCCCTCTTGGTGCTATCATGTCTAGCAGGTAATAATAACATGGAAAAGCTGGGAGTGAGTGCCCTCGGAACAATGATAACCCGAAGCGCAAGCTTGATCTTCTCCGCACCTCGAACTTGAATGCTTGCCAATGCTATTACATACGAGGAATAGTAGCTATATCGCTATGTAGTAGCCAGCAGCCAGCAGCCAGCAGCGCATCTTTCCCAGGGCTTCTTCTCGCGATGACTTTGGACTGACTGCCTTCGCGGTCGTTCTCTCGTTGACCTCGGAGAGTACATCTGGTAAATACTATGCGCAAGTGCTTCAGCACATGCACAAGAGTTTTTAGTCATGAAAACCCCTTAGTACGTTGCTTCCAACCCATACCAACATCAAATCAACCGTCACTCAACATAGCCATGGCAGGCGAAAGCACATAGCACTTTCTTCCCATAGCTCCCCCTGCTGCATTATGCCGAGCACTGACTGACATCCACCTTTCTTCCTTTTTAGGGTCTCCCTCGCTCTCCTGCACCAGGCGGCAAAGGACCACCACCTACACTCCCACGCGCCCAACGCAGTCTCCCTCAAAAGCGCCCGCTGCGCAATGTGCGACACACCATCGCCGTTTCCTCCGCCAAAGGCGGCGTCGGCAAGTCCACGCTAGCTGTGAACCTTGCGCTCTCCTTCTCCAGGCATGGTTTGCGGACGGGGATTCTGGACACGGACATCTTTGGCCCTTCGATCCCCACGCTGCTCGGGCTTTCAGATGCGGGCGAGCCAAAACTCACACAACAAAACATGCTGGTTCCTCTAACGAGCTACGGACTCAAGAGCATGTCCATGGGCTACCTATTACCGAGCGAGTCGGCCCCGGTAGCATGGCGCGGGTTAATGGTGATGAAAGCTTTACAACAACTCCTGCATGAAGTCGACTGGTCTCCGGGGCTCGACGTACTTGTCCTTGACCTCCCACCCGGCACGGGCGACGTGCAGTTGACAATTGGCCAACAAGTCGAAATGTCCGGGGCAGTGATTGTGTCGACACCGCAGGACATTGCGTTGAAAGACGCCGTCAAGGGCGTGGAGATGTTCCGCAAGATGCACATCGAGGTGCTGGGCATGGTGCAGAATATGAGCGTCTTCGTGTGTCCACACTGTCACCAGGAAACCAGGATCTTCGCCAACAGTCGCGATCAGAACGCGCACAACGGCCTAGGCGGGGCGGAGACCAAAGCTCAAGAATTGGGCGTCGATTTTCTGGGCGACATCCCTCTGGATGCCAGGATTTGCGCCGACGCAGACAGGGGCATGCCTACGGTCGTCGCCGAAGAGGCAAGCGGTGTGAAAGTCAACACGGGCTATTATGAACGTATTGCCGAGAAAGTTGCCCGAAAGATTGGGCTAAGCTGGCAATGATGGTGCGACGAAACAGGCTCTTGCGCGATGAGATGGGCTTCTTGATTGATGCAGAGCAGACGACGGTTGCAGGTCCGGTATTTTTCGCGGAGTCCTTCTGCCTCCTAAGAAGCATTCTCGATGTATTGAGCACACCAAAAAGGAAACGGGCCACGTGCAGTTCATCTTCCATCTTCCATCTTTCATCCTTCATTCTTAGCCACGATGACACAAGGTCCTTCAATGTCTGAAGGTGAAGAGTTCTGCATCCAGGTGCTTGTCCGACGGCACTTTAGGATATTATGTGTGTATATATATAGCACGACGGAATAATGCAGGGTGGAAAATATGCAAGACGGCATTCATTGTATTTGTGTCAGTTTTTGTCCTCGTCCAGCAAACTCCAACTCCGGGCGGAGAGTCGTCAAGAGAGATTCCCCAGTGCAGTCTGGAGCTTCGTCTCTGTCCGCTCATACATCTTGGATCGTTGCTCGGCTGTAATCGCATTCGCACCGCCCTATCCCGTCCCACTGACTCTTCCAGCCTTTTGGTTACCTCGTCAGCTATCCAAACCATTTAGATCTTTCTCTTTCTCTAATATCTGGCCTTCTTTTCTTTCATCGCCTTCGACCTCGACTTTGTTTTCTTTTTGTGCATGCTCTTCATTATCGACCACGCCAACCACACCCTCTGCCTTGATTATGGCAGTGGAACTTGGACTTCTGAGGGGGGCCAGTCGACCCATTCCCTCGTCGCGTTGGTGGCTCCGCAGCCGCTCGAGACTGCGTTGGCTCCGAGGCGTATCAGTTCCATAGGCGCCTATCAGAGCTCTCCCTGCCGCTTCAGCACCCAGATGGATACTTGCCACGCCCTCGTTGAAATCTTCACTTCCAGACACAAAGCTCGCCGTCTCATTTGCCGGAGGACTGCCCGGTGTTGTGTCCGTGGTTGGACTTGATGCCTTTGCCTTTTCCACCGCCTGCGAGTCGATGCTCTTCGTAACACCTGGCACGGCGAACACTGCACGAGTGCTCGCATCGTCGGCGACTACTCCGCTACGCCCTGTCATCGTGCTGGCGCCATCGGATAGCACAGGCGCCTGTCCGCCATTGTCGTCACGAAGATGCGCTGCCGTTTTGAACTTCGGGATGAAGCCTGCTGAGAGAAGGGACGAGTCAGGTGAAGACATGTGCACGTCTTTATGTGATTGTTGGTTCAGTGTCGTCTCGGGTAACTCTGTGGATCTTGTGGCATCAGATGGAACCATGACTGGCGGTACATTGCAACCTTCAGCTTGGCCTCTATCCGTGACCGAGATGGTGCGCGTCCTGCCTCGAGTTTTCGATTCGCTTGCCCTGCGTTTCGCGCTTATGCTTCGCTTCCTACTAAGGCTTCGTCGCGGACGTGTCATAGGATGCTCGCCTTCGACAGCAGTGGGCGCCGCGCCCTGCTCTCGTTCTCGACTCAGCCGAACCTTCTCCTCCCTCTCCATCTCAGCTGCTTCCTTCTCCCTCTTCAGCGCGTACTCATCATGTTTGCTTCCCCACATACTCCACATCGCGAGTCCATAGCTCTTGCTCTTCTTTTTGACCGAAAGGTCCTTATCGGTCCGCCGACCGGCAAGAGCGCACGGCGGAGGATGCTCGCCGACCTCGAAGCCCTTGACTTTTCCGCTGGAAAGAGCTTTGACTCTTTCCTTCTGCACTCTGCTCCTTGCTCTGGCATATTTCGTGTCCCAGATCTTTTTAGCCCCAAGCCATTTCCTCACCGGACCAGGTTTGATGACCCCAACCTGGTCCGGATGCATTTGCAACGCCGCCAATTCTTGTGCTTCGGCGAGGGGGTAGATCCTCCCGTGCCGGTCAACGCGTTGACGAATCATGTTGTTCTCGAAAGGGGGGATAGGGTCTCCAGCTCGACCAATACTTCCCGTTGCCTTGTTCGGGTCTACATTCGTCTTTGCCGCGCTATTGTTTGATGATTCGGCGTCGGTGTCTGGTGGGGAATGACTGGCTGACCGTGAAGAGATGGTCGAGATATTGTCATCCTCCACGATCTCGATTGCTCGCTTCTGAGCCCTGGCCAGCACCCAGGCGCCAAATTGTGCGACTGAGCGATACATCAGTTTTGCTGGGCGAGTAAACGACAGAGTTGGAGCAACGTGACACAGATCTTCCCATACTTGTAACTGGACTGGCGTGGCTTTGTACTTTTTAATTATGGTACCATCTGGGTCATATCTTGACTTGAAATCGGAACCTAGGGGAAATTTCGAGGGATTTGCCATCTTGTGAGCGAGATATATCTGTTCATCCCGCAGAATTTCTCCGCCGCCGGTAAGAATCAAGATTGGAGGAAGGCCTCCAAGAGATGGTTGTAAGACGGGTGACACCAGAGGGTGGGCCAACAGCTGGTTGGTTGTATACATCTGAATCTGGTCCTTTAGGACGATTCGCTTTCCGTCAAGTTCAACAGATAGTGGGAGTTGATGACTAGGCACGATCTCGCCGTCGTCATTGATAGGTACCGACGCTGGAGGATCGTCTTCCTTGTTCTCTTTGAGAGATGCATCTTTGCCTTTTGCTAATCTGCTGATGATCGCGATCTCTTCATCGTTTGGAGGGGGCCATGAAGCTGAATGTTTCTGCATGAACCCATAGGGTGGTATATAGTCAAACTCTGCATTGCCACTCAGGCTGGGAAAAGAATGGGTGAGGTCCACCCACGGCGAGATGAGGACCGCACCAGCAGGCAAAGGAAGTCCTTGATCGCGCAGAATGCAGAGTATCGAAACCGTCATGCCTCCACCAGCCGAGTCTCCTGCCAGGATGATCTCTGAAGGATCATGTATGCTGAGGAGATAGAAATAGGCAGCAAGACAATCCTGCAACCCGCAAGGGAAGGGAAATTGCGGTGCCAGCCTGTATCTTGGAGCAAATACACGGGCCTTGAGTTTCCGAGCATATCTCTGCATCTGGTATCGGTGGACGTCGACACTGCTGAAGAAATAGGCTCCTCCATGGATATAGAGCATGATCCTCCTGCTTTTCGTGCCTCGTTTTTTCTGTTCGTTGTAGTGTGTGCGCATCTCAACCCACTCAGCCTTCAGATCAGCTCCTTTTGGTCTCCACTGCCACCATTGCGTTCCGCCGATTTGTTCAATCCCTGTCGGGCCCAGCTGGTCCGTGATCGTCTTTGCGGCCTTGCAGACATAGTCGGTCGTGATGGTGACGCCCTCGGTCCTCACCCAGGCGGGACTGGGGACCCATTGCGCGGTAAAAGACTGTATATCTTCAACTGTATGATGTGAGGCATAATAAAGAAACGATCGCATTAGATGGAGGCCTTCATCGTACGAGATGTGTGCTGTAGGCTTGTGGCGTCGGGGTTTCCGATTCGTATACTATACACTTGGTTAGGGCAGATTCTTGTTCTAGGCCAGATCCGTACATGAGATATGCACGTCTTGATGACAGTGGGAGTGACGGCAGCACCGGCGGTAAGGGTGTTTATAGTCATGTTGTAGTTTTGCAGCTCACGCGTCAGGCCAGCTTCATGTTGATCAATGGAGAAGGGGAGAGCCAGGGATAGAATGCGACATCTAATAAAAGAATAAGCTCATAAAGGCAGGAGTAAAAGATGCCAGCGCGTTGCAGTAGTATTATTGCTGAACGCTACTTTGCAGACCATCCAGTGCGCCGGGCCGATTGGGGACTTGGATGCGAGCAGGACGACATCGTACGGCGTGCTCGGATATGGACATCAATCTCCACAGCTCTGTCATACGTCATCTCCAAGACTGCCAGCCTTGCCGCCAAGAGTCCAGCCTTGTATCGAGTAAGAAAAGTCTCCTTCCTGCTGCAATGCTACTCCCCACTCCGCGTTCGTTAGAAGCTCAGCCTTGAGCATCCCATCCGACCCAGTCCACAAACGCATTCCCGAAGAAGTCATTCGTCCATGTTGCCAAATCACTTGGCTCAGCTTCGTAATTCTCGCCCTGTAGCTGACCTGATACCGGTGCGGCAGTGGCATAGTTGAAGAATGAGTCCCAATCCAACATGTTCGTGGTTGATGGCCAGTGATCAGGTAAGGCTCCCTCTAGGGATGATCCGCCCGCCTCTTCGCCAATACGACGAGCTGGAAAATAACGATGGTCAGTTGGCACTTGATGTGTGGATTTGCAGTACTCAGATCCTTGCATACCTCGAGGGTGGGTCACATATCTAGCATGCTGCACCAAAACCAAAGCGACTTGCTCCAGCTTCGCTGCAAGCGAACTTCGCGGGCTCATCTTACCCAGAAAGACCGGGAGATTCTCCATAGCAGCGAGAGCTTCCTTGTTCTCATCTGACTCGCCCTTCCCATTTGAAATGAGCTCACCGAACAGGTCTAAGAATGGGGTGAAGGGACCACACAAAAGGTGCCATGCCATACCATCAGAGGGTGCCTCGGAGTCAGCGACCATGTTTTGTAGTAAACGAAGCATCCGTTTCGAGGATTCGATACACTGGGCCCTCATTTGCGTGGACGATCGAGCGAGGAGGATGAACAGGTACTCATATTGGAAGCCAACACTGCATAAGCTCAGATCAATGGAAGCAGCATTGTTGGCGTTAAGAAAAGGCTTTTCTGCCATTGCAGCAGCTTCGAGAATCTGCATGCGCATGTCAGCTGTTAGATGCCAAATTTGCCGAAGGCGAGACCTACCCGTTGTGTCTGCCGATACCACGACTCAAGATCCTGCTTGGTTGATTCAATGTTACGATCATTAGGTGTTGTTTCTTCGTGAAGACGATACCAGATATCAGCCATTACACGTGATAGCAGAAACATTTGGTGGGTGTAATCTGAAGCTGCTGTCAGTCTTGGTCTGTTGTTTCAGATCCATCTAATGTCCACCCGGCTGCTTGTGTTCGAGAGCTGACTTACGCGCTCCAAATAATGCCGGGGCGCCTGCCGGAGTAACATGAGGCTGAAATGACAGAAGCTGGCTTAGCGTGGGCAAAGGAATCTCTCTCGCCATTGCGCGGTGGAAAGTTGGGGGTCTGCCAAAGATGAGAGCCAGTCCTATGTCCACAAGATTCAGGTGCCAAAACATCACGACACGCCGGTCCTGGGTCCGAGAGTCGAAACGGCGATGTCTCACTCCCAACGCCTGCAGCATCCTACAGGCGTTTGTGACCAACATCCAACAAAGTGAAGGGTTGGTGAACTCCTCGACATCGACGGCGAGCAGAATCAAAGCATGGATATTTGCTTCGCTGGGCTCCAGGAGGAGTCTTGCGTCATTGAGGGCGAGCCAGAGATTGCGTCGAAGCTTTGCCTTTGTATATTCATCGCCGGGGTCAGTGGATGAAACAAAATTGAGAATGATGCCATAATACATCACAAGCCAAGCTCTTTGCTGCACTTGTTGCGGGCGAGATGCTCTTAAATGGTCCAATACTTCAGGAGGAACAGAGATAAACAAAGGACGGTCTCGTTTCAGGCCGGCGACGAATGCTGTTGTAAGCGGTGTCAGTGGCCCCATCATGGAAATGCGACGGTGCTCACCATCTGCCCAGGAAATCGCCCGATCTTCGAACAAGTGAAATTTGTTGCAGGCCTTATCAAGCTCCCAATCGTCGTGCCAGATGGCCGCACAGGCTTCAGACAAAGATGACAGCGCACGCAGAGAGGTTTGAGGTGACGCATCGAGTCCCTGCAGCCGGTTTCGAGTTACTTCTATGTCCATTGCGAGATTGGACTGAAGGCTGCTGGTAGCCGCGTCAGAGACATGACTGCCAGTCACTGTGACCGGCGAAAGATGATCAGGAACAGCAGCATCGTATTTCCGCTTCCTGTTTCGACGAATTATCCCAGATCGCGAATAGATGCAAGCCATGGCTTCATCTCCGCAGCGCTGGCATCCATCGCGTTCGCGGGAGCATGCAACCTACAGACTTGTCAAAGCAGTCCTCCCGGCTCGTGAAATAGGTCGGATAGACGTACCTTGCGGGATCGGCATGTATCGCACTCCAATCATCATTCTGGTCAGTCCACAGTTTCTTCTAGATGGTAATTGACGAAAGCTTACAGCATATGGAGCGAGGGTCTCGGCCATGGTTGAAGTGGTTGATAGTTTTGAGAAGAGTAGTTGTTCCAGCTTCCCGGAAGTTATTCAGTAAGTATCGAGCTCCATGACGCTGTGATGCTGCCGAATAACCTCCGACGGAGCTTACGGAACTTACATTTGCCATAGGTCATGACTTCATTGTCGAGGCAACATATTGTACTGAGCACACGCAATATCCAGCTTGCTATAAAAGATGACACGCCGCACAGGTAACTTCGAAACGGATCACACATCTGACCCAAATACATCTTCTCCATGACACCGTCCGTCGCCATCCTCGGCGCTGGCCCCAGCGGTCTGCTACTGGGGCGGATGCTTGAACTCGCCAACATCGCCTATATCATCTTTGAGCGAGACAGATCAGGCAACGAGTCCTCTTCTCGAGCTGGTACGCTCGATATTCATGCCGACTCTGGTCAACTCGCTCTCCAAAAAGCCGGCTTACTGGATCAGTTCAAGAAAATGGCCCGCCACGATGCGCACACCATATTAGCCGACGCAAAGGGCAAAGTGTACATCAGGACCGGTGACAGCGACGAGGCCAATGAAGATAGACCCGAGATCGACCGCAAGGATCTACGAGCGTTGCTCCTGAACGCGGTCCCAGCCAACAGAGTACGCTGGGGCTTGAAGGTTCAACACGTGCAGCGAGATTCAGACGGGTTAATGTCTGTCCATTTCGCAGATGGAAATATCGAATCAGGATTCCGACTTGTCGTAGGGGCGGATGGTGCATGGTCCAAAGCTAGAACTTTAGTACGTTACTCACCTATCTTAATATCTGTCTTTGAGCGACTAACAGCAAAGGAAGGTCACATCCGCCAAACCCCAATATTCTGGGCTGCACTACTTGACCACAACTATAGATCAACAGAATCCGTTCCACTCTATCGCGGTCTCGCTGGTCGGAAAGGGCAACTATATAGCTTTCGGCGGAGGAAAGCAAATCGTTTCTCTCAAGCTCGGTGACGGCTCCTACTACGTCGGCGTTGGCCTGCGGCTTCCTGAGGAGTGGAGTGCAGAGAACGCCGCTGTTCTCGAGGATCCCAAGGCGATACGTCGGCTGTTGCTCAATGACTACTTCGCAGATTGGCCCAAGATGCACACGGACTTGATCGAACACAGTGACGGGACATTCTATGCTTGGCCACTGTACGCCATGCCGACAGAATCTCTGCCGTGGAGGACGGTTCCCGGTGTTACTTTGATAGGGGATGCTGCACATGCAAGGTAAGACTCGATTACGCTCCGGGGCCTCTCCAATTCTGCTCGTGCGAGAAAACTAACCGATGATCCTCCAGCACGCCTTTTGTAGGTGAGGGCGTCAACTGTGCCATGACAGACAGTCTCCAGCTCGCCCAACAAATTGTCAAGCACGGAGTGGATGAGCTTGATCGTGCCGTCTCCGAGTACGAGAAATTGATGTTCCCTCGTGCGATCGATCTCATCAGCCGAAGCGCGATGAGCGGCGAGCTGTTCTTTGCGCCAGATGCACCTCGAGGTTGGCTCAAGGCCTTCGCTGGCATTGACTGTGACTAAGAAGGTTCTGGGCTAAACAGGAGATCCCTTGGGGAGTGGGTAGTGCTGTTACATAGAGACGCAAATCGGTATCCTAGAGTACTACAACAACAAACCTGGGCAGCCATAGTCATGTCTTCTTCGTATGAAGGTCTAACCATCTTCTATTGCCGTTCAATAGATTGTGGCGTACGCCGTCTTCAGGAAGTACTTGAAACAGAGATCTCACCACCGCCGCCTAGCCTTCGTAGGAGGACACCACCAGCACCCGTCCTCTTGACACCTAGCAAAGTCTCTGGGCCGGAGTTGACCATTACACCCGTCTCTCGCGCGCATCTCCGATATAGACAGACGAGTGATTCATGACTTGCTTCGGCACTAGCCGTTCAATTTATATAGCGTCTTCGAAGTACACACGAGACTACCACTCAGGGGACGTTCTGCAAAGTCAGCTTGGTCTCTCCATCGTAGACCCTCAACTCCTCGCGAGCCTGCTTAGCGGCATCCAGCACGAGGGCAGCGTGCTTCTCGGAGCGCGGAATGAAGCGTGCTTTGAACGGCTCGGGCCGCATATTTTCGCTCTCTGTGTAAGCGAAGATGTCGAGCTTCACTGGATTTCCCTATATCGGAGCAATCTCGTGTTAGTTGGGGCCCGTCTCAAACAGGGCGGAATAGGTGATGGGGATGGGGCTGTATTTGCCATTGTGGCCACTGCATTGGGTATTCAGCCCTTCTTACCTGCTCGTCCAAGCCTGGTCGAATATCAAAGGCCCACAGCATCCTAGCGATAGTGATGAATAGCCCCTGCTCGGCAAGCGGCTGTCCGCTACACTGACGCCGACCCCATCCGAAAGCGTTGTGTCCCTTTTTCGACGGATGGGGGCGTTCGAGACCGTTGAAGAAGCGCTCCGGTCGAAAGACATCGGGCTCGGGGTAGTCGTTGGGGTTACGATGGATGCCCCATAGGTTTCCGGTAATGGCCGTGTCCTTGGGAATGAAATATCCCCGGTACTCATCGTCCTGAATCGGGCTGTGCGGGATTCCGCCCAAGATGGTCACAGAGCGCCAGCGGAGGACCTCCGAAACTAATGCTGCGATGTAAGGGAGCGAAGCTTCGTCGGACCACTCGGGCATGCGGTTGTCGCCGACTACCCTGTCGATCTCTTCCTGTGCCTTTTTCTGGGCCTCTGGGAATACGCACACAGCTAAGACGAATGATAAGGTGGAACTTGTGGTAGTGTCGACGCCTCCACCGATCAAGTTGGCCGTCAGACAGGCAATTTCTTCCTGCGATAGATTATTCTCGTCATGCTGTTTCAACAAGAGGGTCGAGAAGTTTTCTTCCTTCGCCTCTGCACCTTCCATAGCCAGAGCATAGAAGTATCGCTGGAAATGCTTCGTGTTAGAAAGAATCAATGAAGGAAGCTTGTAGAGCCACCCGGGGAGCTTGGCAAGGACGGGGATTGTCTCCATAAGGTAGAGGCCTGGAATGACATAGTTGACGCCCTCCATAAAGCCCAGAGCGCACAAGGCGACGTGGTCATTCATGCGATCGATCCTCCTACCCCACCCTATGATAGAAACAGTCGAGCAGGAGTATCTCTCGATCGACATAACCATGTCGTCCGGCCTCTCCATGAGATCCCGGAGTAGGACTTTGGACTCGTTGCCCTGAAACGTCCGATGCGCTCTCACAGCTTGGGACCCCACCACGTTGTGCTGGACCATAATAAGTAGTGAGTAACTTCTGACATAGATAACCATGGACTTACCGTCAAACGTCGGTGAAGGCGCCAGCGGTCCCCATATATCTGACAGACCTGGTTTTCCTTTGTCTGGTTCATCATGTCACCCATGACGACGAAATGTGGGCGTGAAGAATATATCGCCGCTCGTTTCTCGAGGAGATCAGAGATCGTCCAGGCATCGTTGCAGACAATGATGGGACGACGCCCGTTCCAAAGTGTGACCATCGGACTGTTGTATCGGTGTGACATCTTCTCAAACTCCAGCCAAGGCCGGGACTTTGGAATGTCGTACCAGTTGCCAATGACTGGAAGAGGGAAGGGCCCCGGAGGCATCTTCCTCCGGAGACGTAGGATATAGACATAGTCTGCCAGGACCCATAGCAACGGTGCACCAAGTGTTAGAATCAAGAAAAGGAGCGCCAGATGCGTTGTGTTCCTCAGGTTCTGGAAGAGGTCGAGCAAGTTTCTTGGTTCGCCAAGAATACCCATAGTGGTACGACTGGGAATAAGTGGTTTGTGTATGAGCCGAGAGTTTAGTTTGAGCGGGGAGCAGCTCTACCGGAGAATGTCCGTGAAGCATTTTCAATGGGGGATATATTCAGTCTTTATACGCCAAAATTCCCCATTTCTCCCCGCAGTGAACATTTCGCAACTCCCGCCAAGTCCGAGGTATGGAACTGCAGAACCAATCCAGGTTGGTTCGGGCACATCGCACGAACTTACTTGAGACAGCAGCATCGCTATGTGTTCATGTCAATACCAAAGGTCATCTATTGCCTTGTCTTCAGCTTCCTGATATTTCCCCATCTCCCTGGGGGTAGTCTAGCTCCTGGTGTCTCCCTACCTATCACTGGACGGAATTGGTGCCCCACATAATGTTACTAGCCTCTTTATTGATCTCCTGGGTTATCATGTGGGGCCTTTGCTTTCTCTCTCCGTTCCTACTAGCATCTCTCAAATCGGAGCGGAAGTCTTCCAATTGTAATCCGTACTATTTGCAATCTGTGAGGTGTACAATACTGTGGTAGTCTCCATCACAGTCATGAGAGCTGTAATTGGCTTGAGCGCTAGTTCTGTAGGCTACTATGCAAACCTCGTGGGTTCTGATACTAAGAACCCGACATGGTTGACTTTTGTCGCGGCCACACTATCACCGCACCTCGATTCGATATCTCTGCCTAAAGTCTTAAGGGCATGTCCCACCAATGTCGCTGTGTTGGTTGTGTCTTTGATTCTCTTACCAACGTCTGCGTCTTCGGACCCCGAATGCAAGGCGCCACCGTCATTGTTCATCCCATACGGCTGCATCCGCTGAATCTCGAAGCCTCGTCCGCGTAGTCTCTTTGGCCACACTCCGCTCTTCCCAGGTGCGAGGATGCCATTGGGATCCAGGCTGTCCTTGAGCTGTTCGTTGAACTTGAGCGAGGCACCGTTATTCCAATTGTAGACGCTCGCAATTTGGTCCATGAAACACAGGTGTGTCCTGTATTCACCGTAGCCCTGAACAGAGTCTCAGTCATCGCTTAAGGCCTTGAAGTGCGGATTATTAGAACGGTGGGGCGGTATGCTCGAGGCCACGGAAATATTTGGGCTTACCTCGGCAGCTGTATCGTCAATCAGGAGCTCAATGCACCGATGTGCCCGTCGACGGGAATCAGGGTCGGACTTGTCAAAAGTTAAGCACACTGTGGCTTCTTCGTCAGCCAAATTCAAGCGGTTAAGGCCTTCCAAGGGTGGGAAGACAAACGAACCGATATGATGAAGTTCGCGCCAACCGACGACAAAGGTGCCGAGATAGTCGAACCCGAACTCCTCGAACCTCTTTTTGACCATCTGGTACTGCTTGTTGCCATCTGTGCCTGTTGCGGGTGAGATTGGCGAAAATCCCAGCAATGACCCCGGCTTGCAGGTCCAGTCCAGCCATCCCAGCTCGTAAGTGTTGGGTATGCCCTTCAGGGTTTCCTCCCGCATGTGAAGAACTGTCTTCTGAGCGCCTTTTTTCAAAGGTTCTGGAAACATATAACTTGCCTGTAGAGAGGATTATCAGATATAAAACATGGTTAATGGAGCCTAGCAGGAATAGGCACTGGTAGACCCGCCATATGGAGGCAATCAACGGGACTCACTCCAGGAATTTGCATAAAAGTATTCTTCAGCACTTCCCACTGTAGATCACGCATTGGCTTAGGCCCATACATGGCTCCATAAATGTTCCACCGACCAACCCCTATCTTCCTGGCGATTTCGTTAATCTCCACATCCGTCAGAACGTCTTTTGAATCTGTGTAGTGAGACTTCTGGGCAAGGACAGCAGCATCGAGGAGAGTCGACCTGATTGTTGGCGCATTCTGAATGACCATACCAATCCGGAGAACACGGATGGCTTCGACAACTGCCGGAAGATCGGTGTCATTCTGGAAAGAGAACAGGTAAGATTGGTAGCCCTAAATAGAATGGTTAGCCCTGGTGTATCGAAAAGAGTTTTTGTTACGGGCCAGAGGAGAGGTCTTACACCGGGGTCCGGCATGAGCCAAAATCCCATCTTGGTGACAATACCATAGTTGGATTGTGTGAAGATGCCATCAGGATAGGGGCCAAAGCCGTACTGGAAAGTCTGCCAGGTATTGTTGCCCGGCAGCGCACCCATGCCCGTGCGCATTACTTCACCGTTAGGCAAGACGACTTCCATACCACAATGCATCGAAAAATGCTCTCCGTAGGGCGTGTAGCCGGCACCTCGATCGAGAGCGTTTCCGACGACCGAGCCGCCACCAAGGTCGGGGTTGTCGATCCAAAGGTGCTTGAATCCATTCTTCTGCAGGTAATCGTAGAGGGCGAAGTATGAAACGCCGGGCTCTAGGAGGCAGGTGCAGTCTCGGTCACTGACCTCCAGCACTTTGTTCATGCGGGCACCCATATCAAGAACGATGCTACCGCGAAGACGTGGTGCTGAGCCTCCATAACCTATAGTTGTTAAGCTGTGGTTAGCAGATTCAAGTACGTGTGGCAGATGTAGTACTTACCAAGGTTTCGACCCATTGAAACCGGCCATAGTGGTGTCAGGTATTTGTTGGCCAGTTTGACAATGGCACAGACATCCTCGGTGGAGCCTGGCCGTATCACTGCGCTGGCAAGAAAGACGTCTTTCTCCAACACGTAGAACATGTCATGTTCTTTAGGAAGGTTGTAGTAATGTGCATCTTCATCAAGCTTCATAGTCTCCTTGGAGCAGACCTCAACATTCTCCGGCCCAACCACCAGACTAATGTTCTTCAAGGCCTCTCTGAGGACACTCGCAGAGACGTCTGGCGGGGTTATCAAGTCGGCATCGTTGAGCGAGTCAAGCAAAGAAATGGAGGTCATCGCTGGGTAAAGGGACTGATTGTCCACGTAGAAAAGTGCGCTGTGTATCCAAAGGGACGATTGAGCCAGATGCAGAAGTGTGTGTAGAAAGAATACAGATGAAACACACGGCGCCCTTCATATGTGGCATGCCAGATATCTATTTCTTGAGGATGCTCGAGAGCACTGTAAGCGACGTAGCATGGAATAGCTCCCCGTGGGGAACACGAATGGTCAGCATCAGTTAGCCTCGCCCCAGGGGGGAAGCCCCGCGCACATTTGCCGCCCACATAGGGTTATTCAGAAAATGGTAAGATAATTGGGACGTTTGCAATGAACAAGCTCTCCAGCAAGGGAAGTACAAAAGTTCGACCGTCGCACCTCTTAATCGGTTAGATGTGTGGAGGTTTTGGTACTAAGTGTATGTGGATACACTGCACGAATAATGTTCCCGGCACGTGCCGAAGTCTCCACCTGCCCCACACGATTTGGTTGCAGAGAATGAGAGTCCCAAGGCCGAGGTTGCCCGTCGACGGGGAAGTTGGAAAATAGATGGAGCGGTTATCCTGAAAACATTACCGGTCATCTACGTCCGTGCTGATGGTTTTTGCTCTTTTCCTTTTCGCTTCAGCTTTCCAGGGTCTTCATCATTTTTGGTTAGAAGGGGTGGAAGCAGATCCAGATCGTTGTTACGCGCATTCACAAGCTGGGTGATCGATCGACGAGCCTCAAGTAGTTGTACAAGTTCTGCTAGCGTAGTTAGATGGATGGTGCATTTGGTGAGAGCCTGGGAACTCTCACCTAATACAGAAGCTCTAATTTGCCAAAACGAGCCAATCGCCCCAAGGACAAGCTTCAACATCTCGAGATATATGGGCCTGCTCTCGTCTGGACTTGCTGCAAACTCGCAAGCCGTCTTCGCATTGATTGCGCCGGGACCAAGAAGGGTTGTAGTGACCAAAGGATAGGTTTGAGCAATGGAACTGGGGTCCCATTCCCGAATAACGTGGCAGATTAGCTTCTCATCTTCCAAAGCTGATGTTTCCAGGAACACGTCCAAGTGTTCTGGGAATTTCCGATGACATAGTAGTCGAAGTGAAGCACGACTTCTATCGTCTCGAGTTAGCATTCCAGGACCTCGAATCTGTCAGAGTTTCTCGAGAAAGGACGTACGAATGGAGGATTAAATGAGTACATACGATCCAATTATTGACTGCAAAATTGGATTCGTCAAAGCTGAGACAGTTCGCGGAGAGATGAAATCTCTGCGGAAGGATCAGAGAGAAGCAAGCAATGGCGGACTGGAAGTCGCATATTGTCTGCGCGGTTGTATGCCGTCTGTGGATTATGTCGTGAGCGAACGCCCTCAGGAAAGAGGTATAAGAAACCAAGCCCTGTCACCGTCGTTAGGTGAATCCTTGAGTGTCTTCCATACGTGAATTGGGTCTGGTATGACCGCGACCGATGCAGCTGGTGTGTCAGAGAACCAGGCTTCGTCAGATACCGGTAGCAGCACATTGATGTGGGTTTTGTCGATCGTATGTGGCCGCTTGAGGATGGTGCCCGAGAACATGTCGAGCTCCCAGGCCAACCACCAAGCTCGTCGAAGTTCTTCTTTCTTGCTCCATTTTTCTGTTGGTGTCTATTGCACTGTGGTTTTCGAATCTAGAATTTCATGGTCGATATTGTTCAGTCCAAGGTCATACGCCAAGCGGCAGGAGACACCAGTGAGATTACCGCAACGTCCAATGGAACCACAAACTTGATAATACTAGCCCAGAAGAATCAATTCTTGCAGCAATGACAGGTTTGCTTGGATTGCCGCGTCTAGCTTCATGACGTCCTGAAACAATTGCGTCGCCTGCTTTAGAAAGATTCTGCTCTTCCCTTCGGAGGTAAATGGGCGAAATACGAAGACGCGGAAACCGGGCTGCCAGAGCGCAGATGGTGTCTAGGATCAAGCAATCTTCTAAGGAGAGACTCTGAAATTTGTCAGTGTCCTGGCCGTGTACGGTATACCTGGCGTAAAATCGCGGCTTGTGAAAAAGAGGCAGCCAGCCAGCCACGTGCTTGAAAAAAGCATCGACAGAAAGTCTCGGTTTTGGATAAATTGAGGACATTACATCACCCACATCTCATCCATGACCACAGCAGGGAATGGCATGGAATACCTGGTTGACCTTGCATTTCCTTGGCTCATTGAGTTTGTACCGGATGCGAGAAAAGAGCCAAACTGAAAATTGTAATCCATCTCTAATGATCCAGTGGAGCCTTGTCCGCCAAAGAGTCATATCTGGCATCTCTCCTAGATTTCCGTGTAGGGCTTCTGGACTCTGAGTATTCGAGAAGCCGTCCGTAAGCCAGGACCTTAAGGTTGGGTCAAAAACATCTGCGAAGAATCGCGTTTCAGTCTGTTCGGACAGGAGACCAGGACTCAGGTCATTCGTACAAAGAAGTCCATTTTCTATGTTGTTCGTTGTCATTTTTCCGACGTGGTCAGGAGAGAAGCCAGGTGTTGGAAGGACCTGGGGAGACTGGAAGTTGGTGTTTGAAAGGCTGTCCTGCTTCGAAATAGAGCATTTTCCAGCATGGTAGGATCCAGCAGTTCGAGCATGCGGTCTGGAACAACGGGCATTAGGCTTGCCGCTCTCTTGTTTTGAACAATTCAATAAACTCACAAGCCTTCCTCTCCTCCTGATTCCAGAAGCCGCCGAGGGGACGCGTTCAATTGCCAGGGACGAGTTGCTGGCCGTCTCGTCTTCGGATAGTAACAGTCTTGTCCAGTCCGAACTCACAAGGAGCATCTTCGGGTTCGTTTATCACCTGCCTATGGCTATTCGTGCGCTCACGAATAGGGGTCTACAGCGCCCACATACATTTGATTTTCTTCCTTCGCAAGCATTAGATATAGTGCAGCACGCTTCATGACAGGGGATCGTATCTGTTACATTCTTCGCATGCTCGAGCTTGTCCGCCTCTCTTCGGCATTTCTTCTACCGTGACTTCGTAGGTTGATTTCGCACCGTTGTTGTCGTTGTTGTCGTGGCTCGACACGTCTGAGGCCTCCCCCGGGAATATATCGTCCATAGGGGCATCCGTGATGGAGAGAACCTAGAACAAGGAACTTGGAGAACTTTCACCGTTGAAGCCCTGCGTCAGATTTGCGGGTAGATTGTAATTTTTCATCCAGATGGGGTAGAGCACGGTGCACCGCTGAGGGCCTCACCAGCCTACGCGGATGGTTTTAGGTGAAGGTGGGGGTGGCGCTCTTGGCACCAGGCTGCTTAATCACTAGGCGGGTTCCCCCTAATTATCCCCAGCCCAGCCCCCCGTAGCCCCAGTTACTTAGGCATGAACTCACGGTTTGTCCGGGGCTGGGAATTTCGTTTTAATAATCATTTAGGCTCCGATGGCAGTAAGTCTGGATTTCATTCTGGAGGAGACACTGCAACGCATCATCCCAGCAGGAAACTTTCGCCGACATATATCGATTACATAGCAACGTTGATCGGCACCGATAGAAGGCACTGTTCTGGGATCGGGTGCAGCAGCTTTTCACGATCAACTGCCAGTTAACCAAACGGCAATGAGTTGTGCTCCGTGCTACTGGGTAGTCGGAAAAATCTAAGACCGCTTCCTGTCAATGGGAGAGTAGAGCTCGAGGATCTCATGGGATAAAAGCTCGGATAATGGGAAGAATTACGGAATGCTAGAAAACTTGCCTCAGGAGGCGGCTCGGTATTGAGCGAGAAAGCCGTCGTCATGCAAGGCTGAGGCGGACTGCAACCGGGAATCATCGATACCAAGGCAACAGGGCGTTGTCGTATGCAACCCTGCCAATCAGCTCGAGCCAGAAATTAGCCCAGGGCGGCATACGATGCGGGGAAGATTTCTCAGCACGGCATTCAGAAGGCCGGATATCCATACGAGGATGCTCAAGCAGGTAAGCGCCAGAGTCGATTCAGAGAATATCACAGGTTAGCATCAGTATCCAGCACCTCCAAACGCCTCCAGAGCGGTATGTGATGTACATCCAGCTGATTCTCGACAATGTCTGTGGTTTCGGATCCGACTATGAAGCATGGCACAGATAACGGAACCTGGAGCTGTCTCTCGTGAGAGCCCTGCGAACTCCGCCGGGAGTCGCTCACTCCGGTTTCTGCTCAAGCAGTAATTTGGTTACCAACAGTCCAAATAGGCTCTCCCGTGTATGGAGCCCTGAGACTCCGCCGGCAGTCGCCCAGTCCGAGCTTCTACTCGAAAGACATTTTAGTGATGAACAGTTCAAATAGGCCCTTGAGGCCTCAGAAAATCGATCCATACTTTCAGTAAGCCAAGGCCACCACTTGCTTGTTTGGCGCGCCCTTTTCGACCAAGTCCCTTCATCGCAGACTTCAAGATGCCAATCGATAAATCGTGGCCAGGTTACAAGAAAGGTACCATTCCTGACGATGGATTCGAATGGATATGGCAAGAAGCTATCCCCGCGGATGAGCCAGACAGACCTGTGAAAGTGGTTACCATCCCCTTTGGATACGAGAAGCGCGTGCTGCCTCGAGGATGGCAGAAAACGCCCGAGAACATGCCATTGGAGCTTGAGATAATTTTTGAGAAAGATATTGAGATCGTCATGCGGGACGGAGTCAAAGTAAGATTTGAGGCAGTAATGTCCATGGGCGACGAACTGTTTGCTAACGTGGTGCTAGATATACGCCGACATCTATCGGCCTGCTGATACGGGCGGAAAGAAAATTCCAATTATTATGCCGTACTCACCATATGGCAAAGGAGGCGGTGGCGCGAACCTGATGGATGTGGTGCCCTATCGAGTGGGGGTCCCAAAGAGTCGTCAAAGCGGTCTGGAGAAGTTTGAAGGGTTCGTGGCTTCTCAGCCCCGACAGAGTTTGCGCTTACCGATCAAAGTCCTGATCCTAACGAATGGTGCCGCCGAGGCTACGCCATCCTCGACCCAAATGCCCGAGGATCGTTCGATAGCGAAGGGAATTTACATTATTTTGGCCGCAAGGAGGGTAAGTCGAATTCAAGTCGCTCGTACCAATTTTCTCAGAATTTCTCCCTAGGTGAGGACTGTTACGACATTATTGAATTTGCCGCGAAATACGACTGGTGTAATGGATCCGTTGGCATGGCTGGCAACTCCTGGCTCGGTATCGTGCAATATTGGGCTGCCATGGAGCAACCGCCTCATCTCAAAGCCATTGCTCCATGGGAAGGTCTCAGCGACGTATATCGCGATTTGTGCCGTCGGGGAGGAATTCCATGGGCACCTTTCTTAAAATGGGTGCTCATGGGTATCCCAGGTAAGTAATTTTTTTGTACAAGTTTGTCCCTCGTTCCGATTACTTAGTCCCGTCATCATAGGTCGTGGTCTTCAAGAGGCTGTCACGGAAATGGCCGAAGCTCACGAGTTTTATGATGCGTATTGGGAATCAAAAAGGGTTGATTTCAGTAAAATCAAAATCCCGTCTTATATCCTCGGATCATACTCGACGATGCTGCACACAATAGGCTCGGTCAGAGCATGGAGGGATACTGACACAGATAAGAAATGGTTGCGCTTCCATCCTCATCAAGAATGGTACGAAGACTATCACTATCGCTCCATTGACGATTTGGATCGCTTCTTCACGAGATATCTGAAAGGTGAAGAAAATGGGTGGGAGAATACGCCCAAAGTTCGCGTTTCAATGTATCGATTTGGTGAAAAGGTACTGCTAATCTGTGTGGACCATCGACAGCCACTAGATCGCTAATGTCGCCGCCTAGTACTCTCTATACGACCAAGTCGAAACGGACTATCCGATCCCTCGCACCAAGTACACAAAGCTATACCTCACATCGAATCAGACTCTGCAAAACTCACCTGGTACAGAGGAAGCGGTTCATTCTTACGATTCCACTAGCGGCGATATGGTAACATACGACTACATATTCCCAGAGCGAACAACGCTCGCCGGGTTTTCGAAACTCAAAGTTTTCGTTTCTTGTCAAGAGCACAACGATCTCGACATTTACGTCATGTTGCGGAAGCTGTCAATTGATGGGGAGCTGATGGAACAGTCGAATGTGCCCCTCCACGAGCTCCCCGTGAAATCCGTCAAAGAAGTTGCCAATGTGAACCCAACAAAGTATCTCGGTCCGACTGGCATCCTCCGGGCTTCTCACAGAGAGCTCGATTCGCAACAGTCAACGGAATACTGGCCAGTCCACCCGCATTTGCGTGCCGACTACGTCGAGCCTGGAGATGTTGTCGAGATGAATATCGGCATCTGGCCGATGGGTATCATCTACGAGAAGGGCGAGGGACTGCGGCTGCAGATATCCGGAAAGACAATGGTGCTCCCTGAATGGGACAACCCCCACGTCAAGCGCATGGAACCGCAGTTTAACAAAGGACACCACAGGGTGCACCTAGGCGGAAAGTATGCAGAGAGCTTCTTGTTGGTGCCGAAGCTGTAGACTCCTGGAATCTGAGATAGCGACTTCCTCCAAAAACTCAGCACATGCGGTTGGTGGAATAGTTCTCCAAATCATTTGAGAATCCATTTGAGCCAGCAATGATAACGCCGGCTGCAACCGTACAATACCTCAGCGGCATTCGGTAGGGAGCGAGTTCATGCCCTGGACTAGATACCCGCCAAATGGATTGCGTTCTCCGTCTTAAATCGGATAGACGCCAGCCACTGGTAGGATTGGTCTGTGTACTCGAGATTAATGCCAGCCGGAGACACAAGAGCTAAGACTAGCGAATCGCTTCCCATATATATCAACCCCAAATTCCACTCTGCGCGAGCTTCTTGGACCATGGTCTGGCGCATTGGTACTCGAGCGGCGAAGCAGTAATCTTTTTTTGCGTTTCCTCGGCTCCATTTGGGGATTCACGTCTGTGAGGTAAAGTGGCTATTGTCACAGGCCAGCACATTCCTCCGTCCTCACTCACTTTTATGGCTTGAAGGCCTAATTGGTTATCAGGAGGTGCTTCCGGGTTTGGAGCAGCCACAGCTAAAAGATTTGCCGAAGCTGGAGCCAAAGTCGTCATATCTGACATCAATCCTGATGACGGAGCACGCATTGCTGAGAGCTCTCCCTCAATAAAATTCTTCCAAGGCGATGTCACCAAGGCGGAAGATTGGCAAAGGCTTCTTGGTTTCATCCTCAAGGAGTTTGGAAAGGTGTCGATCCTTGTCAATAACGCCGGCACCACATATCGGAACAAACCCACACTTGAAGTTACCGAGCAGGAGTTTGACCGCGTTGCTAGCGTCAATTTGAACTCTATTTTTCAGGCCATACGCATTATTGTGTCGCATCTGATCGAAAGGGGCAGTCTTCAAGGTCACAAAGGGTCTTGCAGCAGAATTTGCCCCTCAAGACATCCGAGTCAATGGAATCTGTCCTCTTTTATCCGGCAGCGGTCTCTTTTCTTCATTCGCCGGCGTTGAAAAGACGCCAGGGACAAGGAGCAGGTTCATGGCGAATGTTCCGATGGGAAGGCTCACGGATGTGTTTGACGTGGCCAACGCAGCGCTGTGCTTGCAAGCGACGAGTTGAGCTTTGTGACTAGAACCAATCTGGAGGTCGGCGGGGGGAGGCGCTATTGGCTAAATGAGCAGCACAGTCTAGCTATACCTGTGGAGCTAGCGAGCTAGGTAGCTATTAATATGCAGCAGTTCGAGATAACCTCAAAATTGGACATAGGTAGTCGGTAAACATGCTAGGGCGCTGGTGACAAGGACTAGAGGGATTCCACTAGTCAGACTAGTCTAGAACGGGACTAGTCCCGACTACATTTGCGCGACATCCTCGACGCGATCTCATCATCGAGATTCACCCTGCAACATTCTTCTCATGCATGATTGCGGAAGGATTCCTCCTGTTGAAGGGCATTTGAAATCAAGTGGACTTTGTCACATCGTCACGCTTGTCTGAGGTAAGATGCTTTTTGCGGTTTGGATCGCGGCCTTGTGAATTCCGAATCCCGAGGCGACGCTTGACTCCCAGCATGCCCACGCGCTGAGGCAAGATTGCGGGTCTTCTACCCAAATCGACGACCTGTTGGACGGAGCGTATTCTTGGTTCCCAGATTGGTGCCAGAACCCCCACAATAAGATCAGTCGCTATTGTATAATTCAATGCCCCGCTGGAGGATGTTATCATTGAGGTGAAAGTGCATGACGACGATTTCCTCTGAGTTTAATTATAATCCTTTCCAACATGGAGTCATTGAGCAGGGAATTTAGTCACTCAGCAACAGGCAATGTCGCCAATCACTCCATACAAGATCGATATACCAGACGAGAAGATCCAACGTCTTAAACAACAGATCGCGCTTGCCGACTTCCCCGATGAACTTCCAGACGTCGAACCTTGGAGTCGGGGAATGCCTTTGGCTGATCTAAAGCGACTCGCTGCTTATTGGAAAAATGGCTTTGACTGGCGTAAGCAAGAAGCAAAATTGAACGAACTCCCCCAATTCATGACACAGATCGATATTGATGGCTTTGGCACCTACAATATTCACTTTGTGCATCAACCAAGTCCGATGAAGGATGCTATCCCGCTTCTTTTCTGTCATGGATGGCCGGGAAGTTTCGCCGAGATCACGAAGATCCTCCCGATGCTGATAAGTGGAGGGAATGATTCGCCATCATTTCACGTTGTTGTTCCCAGTATGGTCGACTACGGGTTTTCGTCCGGAGCAAAAAAGGTTGATGCTTAACCAGTCTACCTCAATATTTTTGCGCTCACACGTCGACTAGGCCAATTTTCAATTCGAGCAGCACGCCGAGGTGGCACATAAACTCATGGTAAAACTAGGGTACAAAGAATACGGTGAGCTGGTCCGCGATCTGCGCGCCTACGGCAATTGACATTATGCATGATAGTTGCCCAGGGAGGGGATCTGGGCTACTTTGTGGTCCGCTTTCTAGCAATGCTGTATCCAGAGTCATGTAAGGCACAGCACATCAACATGTGTCATCCTCCCGAGATCAGCGCTGCTTCCCATCCTGTTCTATGGGCCCAGTTCGAGGCGACTCCTCTTACCGAGCACGAAAAAGCTGGGATTGCTCGTTCCCGTTGGTTCCGCGAAGAGGGATTTGGGTACAATCTTCTTCAGAGCACGAGGCCTCAGACTGCTGGCTACGCGATCACCGCGAGCCCAGTGGCTCTCCTAGCCTGGATCTATGAAAAGCTTCATGACTGGGCCGATGACTACCCTTGGACCGATGACGAAGCGCTCACCTGGATCAGTATCTACTACTTTTCTACCGCAGGAGCTGCGGCCTCACAGCGAATCTATTATGAGAAAACTCATCGTACGCCAAGAAATGGGTTTCCCCTCAAAGACGCTCATCTCGAAGTCCAGCGATACATTGATGTGCCTCTTGGATATTCACGATTCCCGAAAGAGATCGTTCTGCTACCTAATATATGGGTAAAAGCGATGGGACCCCTAGTGTTCCTCGCTGAACACAAAAAAGGTGGCCATTTCGCCGCCTGGGAGCTGCCAGAGGTTTTGGTTCAGGACTTGCGGACTATGTTTGGGAAGGGCGGCGGAGCCTATGGTGTGGTTCCTGGAAAATCAGGCTACGACCAGTAGAAGGAGGATTTTTCCCGCCTCTACGACCGAGGATTGAATCGAGCCTGTTTGTTTTCCTCCATTTGTCTTTACACAAATTTCTACTATGTACTGTCAGGAATCCTTTTCTGCCCAGCACACCGCACACATCCACATATCCCCACCCCTTCAGTCCCCTACTCTGGCTTATAATCCGGCTTCTGTCTCCTCCAGCCCGGTATACGCTCCCAATCCTGGACCGTGCCTAGAGGTCAAACGAGGTCGTCAAATGGACTATTCCCAAAGACAGGGAGGTAAGATTCCAACTCTCGCTCTTTGATGTACATTTTTTCCGTTGCGGCGCGGTACGGATCGTAGTATTTCTTCGGCATTTGCACCTAGCGGGGAAAGAAGTTTCAACACTTGAACACGCCGGCCCCTCCCTGTTATAAAGAGGCGCAGAAAATGAACATGGTCACGTCCATTCACGAACCAATCTCTGTCGCAAGCCCACTCCTCGACGATCCTTATCGTTCCGTGGTGGTCTGGGTCCCAGAACGTGTCCACGTACAGACACTGCGGCTCGGCGGTGACGGCCTCGAAAGTCGTACGGAGATGCTTGAGGAACTCCTCAGCGTCCGAGTCCGCAATGTAAAAGGTGACATGGAACACGAGCCGTTTCTGCGAGGTCGGGCGCTGAATGCCCGGGAGCCATATCTTCTCTCTCTCTTTCTCTTTGCTGGTTGGAGTAGAATGCGACCGTCGGGAAATATATACCTTTTTGCAGGAAGATGAACTGTGAACAGCGTCTAGGAAGTATCTCTGTCAATGCCTCCTGAAAAAGGAAAAAAAAACAATTCGGTTACGGGCCGATATGGTCAGAGACCCTCCAGGAAAATGTAGCTGAAATATCATTCATATCCAAGATATACTTCTCAAGATTTGTCATTTATCCACTCAGCATTGGGTCATAAGTCGCAATCGTTCCTGCATATAATGCTGCAGCTATGCTCAGTGCTCAAGTGGGTCTGCGAACGGTGTTTCGAAACCCGTTTTACCTCTTCGGTGTCTGGAACCCCCAGGAGATATACATGAAATCACCAATAATGGGTAGGACGATATAGCAGTCATTGAGACGCTAAATCCGCCTCACAACGACGACATCCGATGCCTCGTTTTTTTCTGTTCCTTATATGCCTGTCAGCTCCAGCCGTAGAAGGTCCTTCTTTAAGATCTCCTTTTTCCTCGTTTTCATTTCTTCCACATCCCAATTGGCCCATAGCAGACGACCCTTCAGGAATTCTGCCTCAGGACTTGCAAGCCAAACAGCGAAATGAGCAGGTAGGTTGACTAATTTTGTCCCTCTCCGTTAGCCTCTGCCCTTCACCATGCAGCGGTTTGGTGTAGAAGACCTACCAGAATCCACAGAAACCGCAGTGTGTCCTATTTTTGCCGACATGGCGGTGGCAATCGGACCCGGGTGTAAATTGACGATGCGGACAGTGGGAAGTTCTTCCTGTATGATGTCCATATCTGTCTTTGATGCCGAGTAGCCACGGTGTCTGTTACAATGGCCCTGCCTCACACCGTAGTGCGCCAAAATGCTCTAGAGATTGATCAAGACGGCGCCGGGTTTAGAATGCCGCAGAAACTCGAGCGCGACCAGGCAGCTGCCTTTGACATTGATCTCAAAGCATTTGAATCACTTGTCGATGTCGATATCCAGAACGGGTTTGTTGACGTTTTGATGGCCAGCGTTGTTGACCAAGATGTCTATTTTGCCAACGACTGCTTCAATTGTATTAAAGGCTTCTCGGACCGCGGTAGTATCTGTTATGCCTCGAACAAATGGGTGTATTTTTCACGCTCCCACCTCCTCAAGCTCGGCCTTCAGTCTGAGCAGTCCTGTCTGATTGAGGTCAATTACGACCAAGTCTTTCGTGCCCGCCTGAACAAATGCCCGACATATGGCCGATCCAATCCCACTAGCCGGCCCTGTGATTAGAACGACCTTTCTAGCTGTTGAAAGCTCCAGTCGCGACGGCGAGAAGGCTGGATAAGGCGCATGATGGTACTGGGCTGTAAATTCTGCGAGAACAGGGTCTACCATTTCGATGTACAGCAACTATCCACTCCGGAGCATCAACGCTCACGGAATCTCAAATTGAGTTGGTGGCTTGAGTGGTAGCATCATTACCTTCATCACTGCTATGATGAATATGCTCACATCTTGACGATTCCCTGCATGGTGCATCCGGCAAAAAAACCGGCCTTTACAAACAGCGGCACTTCAGTTTCGGCTTCTGTTACCCCAATCAATTTGATTCGTCGAACTAATGATCACGGCAATAAAAACACAGACTTCCAAGGCCGTGTGTGCTTCAGCTTTTGAGTAATGAGCCTGCTGACAAACACGGTTTTCCCCGCCCCATTGCATTGCCATGAGTGCTAAGCGAGCATCGAACGGGGGACGGGGGTTGTGACTGCCTGGTTTACCGCATCCCTGGCTACAGGCGCTATCGACGAACCCGAGAATCTATGGAATGACAGGAAAGCTCGAACCTGAGTTGTACTCGTATGCATGTACAAGTTGATATGTTTATACTTGTAGGCGTCTCTGCATCCATTCGGCTCTTCCACCCATCAAGGAGCATGTTGCCGTGCCTCACTGTCTGGTACAATCTTGCCACCACGGACGTAAACCTCCTCCCACCCAATGGTCCAAGCCATACCTTTAACATCGAAAAAATTCTCCTCGTCAGGTCTAACCCTCTGTATAAAAAAGGGGTCGTCTCGGGACTTTTTGATCCCGTCAATGTCTTTGACAATGAATTCGGCCACACCATCGTACGGCGTAACGTCAAGAGCCTTGAGCTCTGGCCATGCGTCCATCGTGGCTTCCTGGACAGTCGATGAGGTGTGATACTGTCATTAAAACGAAACCTGTGTCAGCTACAGGGAGCCAATGCTTTGTCCAAAACCACGCCTCAGCGCAAGAATAGACTAGAGAAGAAGTATTTGCCAACCTGGGTATATTTCAGGATCCCGTATTTTTCCACCAGCGGCCTAACCAAGGGTCCGTGGACATGCGACCAGTAATGGTTGAATTGTTCTTCGGTCAAGCCTGGTTTCCTTTTGAGATACATGGACACTCGCAGGACCTTTGTTTTGGTGGCCATGACTTAATCTCAGAATGCTGCAAATCTGACAAGAAGATTACTTCGTTCTTCAACGAACAAAGAAGAGGAAAAAGTCTGAGAAAGCCGGAAATCTTTTATGGGCATGTGTTCTGTAAAAGATGGGCCCCGGCGAGGCTGCCTTCACCAGCCCAATGCAACGGGCTTTCCGTGTCTGAAAACTGTTAGCATCTTAGAAAAGTCTCATTAGTGGATGGTGATTATGATTTCAAATGGCTTCATATGGACCGTTGGAAGGTCAGTAAAAATCTGAAGCGGCGTGGTGAATACCGATAGTTCCCGAGCTGCGACTTGCCTAGCATTTGCGGGGAACTTCTTGCTAATGTTGTGAAAGGAGACAGATGGCAATCTGCCTGTGATGTCCTAGCACCTAGGCGGGTGAGGAGTCTCGGAGCGAAACGTTCCTTACAACACACAGTAGGTGAGCTCGTCGTAGAGTTATTGACTAATGCCCTATAGCAGAATATAGGACCGCTTACTCTGCCTGATCTGCAGCTTCCTTGATCCTTCTATATGCAGCTTTCACCTCCTTCGTCTCGCCGAATGCTTGGAACCATTTTTTAATAAAGGGGTGCTTGTCCAGAGTCAACCCTGCAAACCCGTGCAAATGTATCCATGGCTCATAGTGGCAATCGACAGAGGTGTAACCTCCAGGGATAATCGCCTCACCATTGCTCTTTTTAAGCTGTCCTTCCAGTATGTCATAGCAACGCAATGTCTGCGCTTGGTACCTTTCTAGTGCATCGTCATTCTTGATCTTATTGTGGAACCTTTGGAGGCTGTGTCAGTACGGCTGTGAAGCGTGCAAGGGCGAGCCAAAACCTCACCTGAACCAATTGCACTGGCCACTCATCGGAGCCAAGGTGGTTAACAAGAGGTATTCCCATTTCTCTAGATCCACCTGATCCTGCTCAGTATTGCCCCTGGGGCCGATCTTGTTGTCTTTGTCGTAAATGCGACGGATATAGTTCATGACGGCTCCAGACTCCCAGGAGACGACTCCTGTGTTTGGATCCTCCAGGGCAGGGACGCGGCCGTTTCGTTAATTTCCGTGAATGCTGTGCCCTTGACGCCCTTCTTTGGATCATCGCCGCCTTCCCACAAGCGAATTTCATACGGTACTTGAAGGAATTCCAAGGCAATGGCGATCTTGATGGGATTAGGGCCATTGTGATGAGCGTGAAGAAAGTAGAGGCTTCAAATTCGAACTCATGTTGTTGTTCCGAGGTGCGAGTATCAACCCTGTTGTCGAAACTACTGAAATTGCTTACTGACGTTCTGGTATGTGAAAACAGACATCTAGATGTTGTCACAGGTTGATTTCAAATGCAACATTCGCAATTGACAGAAGAACGAAGTCAACAAGTCCGATCGCCAAGAAGCGGCAGAGCAGTGCCCAGTCAATGCTCAGTCGGTGCTCAGGAATAGAGCGACCGCTTAGATAACTGGCATGTCTCCTGACAAGCATTGTCCGCGAGCCATCTGTGATTGATTCTGTATGTTACACAGAGCTTTGCTGAAGAATACGCGAACCCCGGAGTACATTCACCCAAATATAATGAGTAATCAGACATAATCAAACCAGAGCGCTATTGCTGAAAAGTCAATCAAACGGTCTTTGAGAATGCCGTCTAAGACTTTCAAGCCTCCGGGTATTGGCAAAACCTACATCTCCCCACCCGTACGAAGGCCAAAGCCAGTTCCGGCGACATTGAGAAGAAAATATAAAGCTGAGATTGAATTAATCTCTATGCCCACCTTTCGAGGCCTAGTAAAAGCTTTCTAAATTGGAGACAAAGTAAATCACCTGTGGACGTTGCATAAAAGAAAAATGGAGCGACTTGTCACTCCTATCGATCACTTGAAGAAGCCTCTGGAGATAGGCCCACTGAAACTTCGGAATCGATTTGGCATGTCCTCGATTTCTCGAAATAGGTAGACTTGTTACTATGATTCTATCTGAGGCCGATTCCAAGCTCATACTTGTCAGATCGGACGGTACTTATCCCAACGACCTGAACGGGGAATACTTCTACCAGCGAGCTTTAGGGGGCGCCGGCTTCATTTGTGCAGGAGGCGCCCTCATTGAGCCGCAGGGGACACCAATGCGAGAAACCCCTCAAATTAACACGCATGAACACATGCTCGCTTGGAAAAAGGTCGTCGACAAGGTGCACACTGTGCCTGGATCGGTTTTCTTCTGTCAACTCTGGCATTGTATGCCCAAACGCAGCATGACTGAATCATATGTCGATATTGACTTCTGAAGGTGGTCGAATGACGTACAAAGACGCCAAAATCCAAAGGGACTACGGTAAACCTACCGTCGCGCCCAGCGCGGTTCAGGCTCGCATGGGAATTGCACCAGATAACGACGGAGTATACGACTTGGAGCCAGGGCTTGACAAGGGATATTCTGTGCCAACAGCCATTGAGGATCCGAAAACAGTGGTAGAACAGTTTCGTCGATCCGCTATCTTCGCCAAAGCAGCTGGATTTGATGGGGTTGAGTTACATGGGGCAAACGGATATCTTGTGGCACAGGTTTGCTTCCATGTATTCTCGACGTGGTGAACGCTCTTCACTGACTTGACCATGCAGTTCCTTGATGATTGTGCCAATATTCGAACAGACGCATATGGCGGTTCGGTTGAAAACGTAAGTCCCGATATCTCCTAAGGGTAAAACCAGAGCGGAACTTAAATCACAAGCGAGCAAGGTTCTGTCTAGAATGTATCGATGCTTTGATCGACGTGTGGGGACCACATCGCGTCGGCATCAAGTTGTCTCCGGCTGTTGGTCGAGGTGATCTGGGTATGTTTCCAGTGGAAAGACAGATTGAACAATTCACCTATCTTGTCAAGGAGCTCGACAAGCGTCCCTTGGCATACATCAACCTGGTCAGATATCTTGGTGCGTCTAACGCTCATCCGGGCAACTCAAAAGCGACTGCCTAACTAGCGACAGAGTGGATGGACTTGGAAGTCGACGGCAAGATGCGCGGCCCTGTGCATCCCGTGTGGGCGACTTATCGCCATCTGATCAAGAACGCAAAAGTGTTCTTAAACGGCGCCATCTCTTTGGTTGAAGCTGAAGAGCTTCTGAAGGATAATACGGGGGATGTTATTGTCTTCGGTCGCCCATGGCTCGTCAATCCAGACTTTGCGAACGCCGCGATGGTGGGAAAAGAAAAGGAAATCTTGTTCGACTATAACTTTGACGTAAGTTCTCTTTCCCATCATCAATGTATGGGAAATTCCTGATCGTGGACAAAGTACTTTGCGCAGTACCCACCTGGAAACCAGGCTAAAGGATACATCGATTACCCTTTCATAACCTCGAACTACAGAGCTCCGCAGTTGGCAGCAGGAAAGTTGTAAAGTGAAGCAGTTGTCAGATTGTGGCAATGACGGTTAAAAGTGCAAAATCTGCTAAACCGCAGTTTCCATGCCAGTCGGCTGAAGTCCAATTGAAATACAGGTTGAGGCTACTTCTGCCCTTTTTCTTTCTTTTTCTTATATTCTCAAGTCCCTCCTTCGTTAAGCCATTTCACGTGGAAAACCGGTCTACGTCTGTGTAGCAGCCAAGGTTTGAAATAATATCATGTACGTATGTCTGTCGAGTTTTGAGTTAATATGAGGTCACTATTCTTTTCGCCTCTGAACATACTACTGTCTGCCGCACACATTGCCTTGAGAAGGAAGCACCATACGCACACCTATTCTGCATCATTTGGAGACAAGATATAACCTACCTCGTCACGCTGTGACTGGCAATGCCGTCATTAATAATGGTCTCGAGCCGTGTCTGCATTAAATTTCCGGTGTCTCGAAGCGCGTGCTGAATGAGTAGGCATGGTGATTGAAATAATTTGCCGAAGTGACGAATGAGGACGGAGCCTCAGAGTCCCTTATAATAAGGGAGACGGGATACTTGAACACCGTTCCTTCCCATGGTATATTTCGAGTATAAATAGTCCACCCCTTAGACCCTCGGTTAGAAAGCCAGTGTATGAACTCAAGCATTAAAAAATCGAAAACCCACTACCGTGCAAGGTATCGATTGTCAAGATGGCGATAGAGGCAAATGGTTCAAACTTCCTTTCTCAAATTGCCGCTCTCACTGAAAAAGTAACCCAACTGGAACGCCGGCTCCAAGAACAGGAAGACATCGAAGCCGTCAGACTCCTGATCGACCACTACACCGCCCTTCACGACTTGGCTTTTCAAGACCCCAAGGCGCTCCAACAGTGGGAGGACCTGTTCGCCGAAGACGCACACGTCAAATACGCCTTTGGAGAACACTTTGGGCGCAAAGGACTAGGGGCGTGGGCTTGGGGGCCCGAAGTCTCACAGTACGATCAATGCCACCTGCAGAGCAGCAATTTCGACATCAGTTTCAGCAAGGACAGACAGCTTGCGTACGTTAGGTCAAATGGCATCACCCACTGGCTCTACAAGCGGGACGAGCTGGACAAGCATTTCGATGCTGGTGCTGTGTACCGGTGGACAATGAGACGCGAATCGGATGGAAAATGGGCTATTTGGAAGATAGATCTGTACTGTGCGTGGATGACCGGTGAAGACCGCAACGGCGTGAGTGGCACGAACAAATGAACCAGGTACGAAGCATTCATCTGTTCACTCTGGCGGTCGCGGTTTCAGGTCAAGGTCATGCAAGCATATTCTGCCCCGGAATCTCCCAAAAACTCATAGAACCTTTACTTTTCTAGGCCACAAGAGCAACTACGCGTTGACATTTTTGCAACGCTGTAAAGGTTTCCGATTTGGCGTTTTGTCATTCTTTCTTTCCTTTTTTTTTGGCTCGATCATAGAGTCTGGAGAGGCCATCGCGCTTCACAAACCCCGAGGAATCCCGCGCTCAAGGAGAAGCTCCTCTCCGGCTCATTGGACAATCTTCTATGGTTCGGCGATCTCGAACTCCGTGGACCGAAGGATCCGTCCGGCTCAGTACGCCGGACTCTACATGTAGGCGCGAGGCAATTCGACCTCAAATGCGAAACCACGTTGACCCTGGGTAATTATTAGAGCCTTGTCATGGGCACCATCTGAGGGTTCCCGTTAATGAATACTTTGGACTCCGTTCGCATGGTTGGCATATTTTGTTAATGGAGACATTTTAAATTGAACTAGCCGGAGATGGTGGATGTTCTCCACTTCGTGCCTTACTTCTTCTTCGCCCCCCTATTCTTCAGCCTTGCTCACTCTACACAGTCTCAGTCTGCACTAATGTTGATGCGGGTGGGAACTCAAGAAGCCCTCGCAAGAGCATGGAGCGTAATATGACCAACAGAGAAACCTGCATTCCGAGACCCACGTCGAACCACCTCGTACCCCGTTCAGTTTTGCGTCAACCTACAAGCCTGTCTCTCCATATGTACAGCACTATTCATGGCTATAGCTCCTTTTGCGATAGATGTCTTCTCCTGGTTGTGCGCGTCCAAATGAACCTGATGTATGTCGTGATCGACAGTAATATCCGCAGCGCGGACGGCTACCGCATCGTCAAAGATCTCAGCCAACTCCTCCAGCACGATGCCTTTCGTTTCGGGTACGAAGAAGTAAATCCACACCCGGTCACAGGCGGTGATGGAGATGAAAAGCTGAGGAGTCTTGGGTTAGAGATCAACAATACCAGAGTAGCAAGCAAGTGGCTGCAAGCTTACCAGGAAAAATCTCCAGTGGATGTGGGTAAAGGCCGTCGGAACAACCTGAAGATAGACCAAGTTTGTCAATGCATTAGCAGTATAGGCGACGATGCTGCCCTTCACGGAGATGGCTGGGAAAGATCTCGCTGACAATGACGAAGACACAAACGTCACCGCATGTTGCGTGGCAGGCCTGAAACAAGAACAACATAGCAGCACCATTAGCTCGGCCCACCCTATTCGTGCCTGCTGTGCCGTAGAACGCGATCATGGCAGTCTCGACAGTGGCACACGTCATGCACCCAGTCAGACCAATGAACAACAGAGTCCGTCAGCCAAGGTGATCTGCGAGGCTGGATCCAATATCATTGAAAATGGAGAGAGTAATGTATCCAGCTTGGAAACACAGTTAGGTGCAGACATCGTAACCGAGATTGTTCCATAGGGTTGAGCCCTGATTCCATTCGTCAGCCTGTGAATGAAGAGACCAAAATATCTGGTAGGATTCACATAATTGTTGATTGCCAAGTTCCCTGTGCTCTGAGAAAGAAATACCAGGGTGATGACGATAAGCACCCGTCGCAGTACGGAGGGCTTGCTGTAGAACTGCTTCCAAGAAGCATCGCTGCTCAGGTCAAACTCCGCTTGTTTCTCCATCTGGAAGAATTCGGCTGGGGCAAAATCCTCCTGATCGTCTCAGTCATGCTGACTCAACGTAACCTTCAGCGAGGCATCTTTTCGTCCTTCCATGAGGAGGTGGCGAGGTGACTCGGGTACAAAGATGTAGCCGATGGTAACCATTAATAGAAATATCGTTCCAGCGCAATTAGGACACGTCACTGGATTGTATCAGACACATTGAAAAATGCTACTCCAAAGGAAGCCGAGACAGCAAAGCCCAATGAGCAAACTGCTCCATTCAATCCAACATAAAGTCCACGGAGAGCGGCTGGGGCAAGCTCAGCCAAGCTCAGCGTAGTAAACGGCCATGACGGTCATAAACGCGAAACCGCTGGCGTCTGTGAAGAAACGAAGAGCGATGAACATTCCCACGTTCTGAGACGCGGATATAATGGCTGAGTTGATTGTACTGAGGATACCGGTGTAGATTGACGATCGTTTGCGTCCAGTCTTGTCTGCGAGATAGCCGCTGATGATAATGTCCAACACACCGTCAGCCTGATTTTCGTCCCAACATCAGAATCACGAAATTCTGGGGGATCCGCTCGCTGTATTTACCTGGAACGCCCCGGTAGTTGCTCCTATCAAGGCAGGCGCTTTCGCCGTAGCGTTGCCATCCGCATCAATTAGACACATATATGACAAGAACGACGCTTTGGTCAGGGTCCTGCCAGTGATGCCGGCAAAATACCCGAATACGAATGAACCGAGTGAAAGAAGGAAGCAAGTGAAGAAGTTGAGCAGGTTGAAAGCCTGCTTGCTGCTCGTGATAATTCCAGCTTCAACAGCTATCATTATTTCAGTGAGCTCTTGGTGTTGGATGAGAGCCTGGAGGGAGAAACGAGGTGACTGGCTTGTGTGATCCAAATACAGCCATAGCTGAGGCACGAACCGATGCCTTAAGAGTCTCGACCTTCAATCCAACTCTCTAGTCTGGTCTGAAGCAGAAGGCTGTATCTGGGGTCCGAGATCCCTGGACCCTGGAACATGGCTCCAATACCCGGCGTGAGAATGCCATATTGTTCATGTCTCCATCACGCCCACTTCTCCAGAAGTTAGAACCCTGGAGTGTCAAAACTCCGCATTCGGTATTCTGGAAAGTGTGGCCTGCAAAAGGAGACCTCATGGTGTCGAGAATACCCAATTCTTCGCAGGGAGAGCGTCCTCCCATAAGAGTCGAGCCTCTGGAACCATTGAATGGATAATCCCAGAAGGAGACAGCGCACTATTTCTGGCTGGTAGTACCAAGTTAGGCCGAATTGCTGGCTGATTGACTTCCCAGAAAACAGCACCCGCTCACTATCCGGCCTCAGTGATTAGGAATTTGTAATCGATGAATGGAGGTCTTGGGGTGTTTGCCCGTCCGTGTGATTATAGCCTGAGTTTGAACCCTATCCTTCTAAATTCAGGGCCCCCTAACACCAAAGAACAGCCAAAAGTTGAAGTGGCGGACTCTGCAGTCGCGCCAAAAGGCTGAGGCAAAGTGCCCCCAAGTCATCTTCGGATCGGGTTCCTTGGAAATACAGAGCCTTTCATCAGCGATGTCAGTCTTGAGGCCACTTATGACCTGATTTCCAAGTATGGGATTAGCCATCTCGATTCAGCGCAGCATTATGGGGAAAGCGAAAGGCGTCTGGGAAAGACCAAGGCCGGGGAAAGGCTCTCTATTGACACGAAATGGTTGATGGGATGGAGTCCAAGAACGGGGACCAAGCACGGTATTATTGCCGGTGTAAGGGAGAGTGTGAGGAAAATCGGCTGTGTAGTAAGTCAAAACTGTGATTCTATACTCTCCCTACGCGTTTCTCTCTTTGTAGATAGAAGACTCTGAGTCCCGAGCTCCAAACAGACTATCACATGCGTCTCCTCAGGTTGACGTGTTCTACCTTCACTGCCCCGATGCTAGCGTCGCCGTGGAAGATACGCTGGCAGGCGTGAATGAAGCATATGAACTTGGCTTGTTCAAGCGCTTCGGGCTTTCCAACTACCCAACAGAAGAAGTGGTCAAGATCTTCGGCCACAGTAAAGCTCAGGGTTGTATCCTCCCCACCGTCTTTCAAGGCAACTACGCTCCTGTTGCCCGCAAGTTAGAGAGCCTCCTCCTACCCACTCTTTCGAAAATTCGGCATATCCTTCTACGCTTACTCACCCCTGGCCGGAGGGTTGTTGATGAAGACGAAGGGACGGATCACGGAGGGATCCGGCCGCTTCAACACTAACCACATGGGCGGAATGTACGACCAAATGTACCTCAAAGAGTCGTATCTAAATACTCTGGCCGATTGGGAGGATATTGCACGAGGGCCAGGCTGTTCTCGCGCAGAACTGGCCTATCGCTGGGTTGGCAATCGTGGCGCTCTCGAGGCAGAGTTCGGTGACGGTATCGTCATTGGTGCCGGCAAGTTCGAGCAGATCGGACCGACTCTTCACGGTCTGCAGAAAGGAAGACTGAAAGATACCGTTTCCAAGAGAATTGACTAGCTTTGGGAGAAGGTTAAGCACGAGACTCCTGTGGACGCATTTGCCAAGTAGGATGAAGTCAATCGAAGTGTATGACGAGCCTTCTAGATACCTTTGCACAGAATATAAATAGCTTTCGGCCAACTCTTAGAGCTTTCTATCTGACTGGACCGTTGGGCTCGTTGCCCTTGCGTGACAAAATTGTTCGTAATACATGTATCAGGGCATCTACGGGACGATCAAGGAGTCCCATGCTCCTCCATGCGATGAATCTGTCTGGTCTGATGAGAATGCACCCGTCTTCTTCAACCTCTCGCACCTTCTTCCACTCGAAGTACATGTCTTCATAATCCTGCCTGAATCCGATTGAATAGGCAGCAATTGGAATTCCAAGAGCTTTGCTTGCCTTGGTTGCTGCCTGCTTCCATGGCTCTCCGCCAATACCGGTCAGGACGGTGAATTTTCCCTTACCAGCCAGGTCGAGCAATGGGGTGGGCTTCTCAGGAATAGCCCTATTTAGCCAGACGTGAGGAAGACGCGATCCCGGGTACGTGGACTTTGTATGGTCGAGAACGGGATCTCCCCTGAACGATGGCATTGGTCCTTGATCGACTGTGTAGACCGCCGATGATTGATATCGTTGATTCATCTCGATACCCACTCCTTGAAACTCGAACCTTGTTCCGTGGATTCCATTGACAAACGCTTTCCGACGGTCTCGGCCTGCTGCTGTGGCAGCAGAAAGCTCTCCAAATTCTGCTACCCGTGTAGCAGCATCGGGAGCTAGAATACCCGCAGCTTTCCAGAGAGGGAGGTGATCAAGGTAGCCTTGAAATGCTCTGTATCACATCAGAAAGATATCTTCCGGGGTTGAGGTCAATATATACCGGTCAACAATAGCTTCGCCCACAGGCTGCCGTTCCTTGTCATATGAATCCAGCAACTCCGGTCCGGCAAGATCTTAGGAGAGGTTAGCCTGATAAAGGAATCACACAATGTCAGCACCCACCTTTCAGAACGTAGGCGATCTTCCAGGCAAGATTATATGCATCTTGGATACAGGTATTAGAACCTAGGCCGTTGGAAGGTGGATGTCTATGGACTGCATCACCGAGGCAGAACACATTCCCCTTCGAATACTTTTCGGCAACGATATCGTTGATCATCCACTTGCTGATGTTCAAGATTTTGAATTCGATAGAATCATCGCCGATTATTTGTTTGATTCGCTTCATCCACTGCTCTTCGGTGGGCGGGGGATCAGGTTGATATCCTTGCACTGGAAACATGATGAAGACCCATTCATGCCAGGGTTTCACCATGCGAGGAAATCCAACCCAGGCAAAGTCAGGATGGTCGACATCGTGCTGATAACACCAGTGCAAGTTTCCCTTTCGGTACTGGACATGCTTGCTAAGGTCAGCCTTGACGAGTACGTTCCATGCGAGACCTCCTCCAGGCTTTTGCTTGAGAGGCAACCCAAGTTGCGTGATGATTTTGCTTCGTGCACCATCTGCACCAAAGAGGTATCTGCATCGTATTGTGTAGAAAGAGTTAAAGACGAGGTCTTTTACCAAGACGTCGACGAAACCGTCCTTGGCATGGTCCTTAAAACTGACAAATTCGGTGTTGAAGCGACATATAAATCCGCTCGTCGTTGCCTTGCGCACGAGGATAGGTTCCAGCTGAGTCTGTGGGAGATCAACCGGGTCACAAGGACTGCATTCCTTGTATTTTGCTTCCAATGCTGGACCGTTTCCCCATGAGTAGAGTCGTGCGTACTCCTCTCCGGCCATGCTATAACCCCACCGGGTATGCATCATGCTATCCTTTGGGCTGGCCAGCTTGCGGCATTCATCCTCCAGATCAATGTCGCGTAGACATTCTAGATCGACAGCGTCAGACTCGTAGACATAATTGACTTCAAGTTGGGGAAGCAAGTACCTAGCGCTGCCATATTCGTAATATGGGCTCGCGGCGTTTCTGCTGTTGTGGATGCCGCTCCAATAATGATTCCTTTGATCCCTGGCCAATGTCAGTTTGACTGCTTCAAGGCTGCCTCTGACCCTTTACCATATGATCCAAGAAAAGAAGCAATAGAACCTCCGGAAGGTCCAGTGCCCACTACGACAACTTCAGTTTCAAAGTCCGGCCGGGACGAATCCCTGTCGAGGGATCTTTCGTTCGCCATGCCTGTAGAGACAATGTGACTCTCGAAATATTTGCTGTTTGTGTGCTCGTTGAGGTGAGTAACGGGGGCATGTTTGCTTTATCCATCACAAAATATTCGACGATATCGTCGTCCCAGACACCGGTTCTCCGCTACAGGATTAGCAACGACTATGCGAAAGCTCTGTAGGTGGGAAGTATGGAACGGGTTTGACGGCCTGTCCCACGGCATTGGCGAGTGCCGTGCATTGTTGTGAGAGTAATCCCGGAACTTAAAGCGAGCACCCATATGCGACCGTGTTTGGCCCGCGCGCATCTTTCCGCAGTTTGACATTACCAGGCGAGCAAGCTAGACACTGTTGAACGCTACCAGCGTGCGGCTTGGGCTGAGACCGAGTATTTTCTTAGCCGATCTGGAAAAACACCAGCATTTGTGATGGAAATGAGAAACTCACCAAACCTCTTTCGAGGGCCGCGTCAAGCAGTATGCGAAACCTACCGTACACATGGAACAAATTGGGAAATCTATGTTCCAAAAATATGTTTAATCTCGTCAAGACGTATGGTAACGACTACTATGGCCATCTTTTATTGCCCAGCTGAGAGATAAATGCCCCTGCGTCTCCGCTTTCTATGCTCTTCTCACTCAAAACCTTTAAGACAAAATCGACCGATTCTCGAGTATTCAGCGGCTTGGTGTAACTCGGTTTATATTTATTGAACTTTCGGCCTTGTTCTTTGCACTTTTGCAGCTCCGGAGCGCTTCCTGCGATGACGCATCCTGATGTCAGCGTCTGGGGATTTCGATTTGAGGGACCAAAAGGGACGAAACCTTGCAATGTGGGCATACCAAACTTGTGCCATGGCCGCACGAGATAGAGTGTTTGCGACAAATCTCCCTCCACATGCTGGACTGGTGCATTTGATCCTCGGACATCGTCGTCGGAGTCGACGGCACCTGGGCTGACGGCCATAAACAGAATACCCTCTTTCTTGTACGAGGCACTGAACTTCCCCATCATTATGTTCATGGCAGCCTTGCTTATTGAGTAAGGCACAGCCATATCCATATCCAGCTCGTTAGTACTCCCAAGGTCACCCATGCAACTTGACAATGCGATAACCTTTTGGAAACTCTTTTCGTACCAGGGCAATTGAATGCTGCAGTCGCGTTGATGGTCCCGATGACATTGATATTGAAACAATCGTACAAGTCCTTGTAGAATACTTCCGCCAAGTCATAGCTATCGTCAAAAAGGATAGAGTCAGCGCTTCTTCTGAGATTGTATGCTCGTCGGGGGGATTCTGCCATACTAATCTTCCAAGGTTCGAAAAGCGGTGGGCTTTGCTATTAAGCCAGCATTGTTTAACTTCCACACCTTTTCCGTCAGTAATCTGCTCGGTTTCCTTTGCTGCTTTCTGAGAAACAGTTAGTCACTTTACACCCAACTTCGTGTCTAATAGCGAAGGTTAAAGAAAGTTGTAGGTAGCAGACATACTAGTAAAGCGTTGCGATCCGTAACGTCAGCCTCAATCACATGGATATTTTGAACACCATGGTCTGCAAGTTTTGCCTCTGTCTCTTTCTTCCCCAGCACCAAGCAACAATGACGTTTTCCGGACACTCTGAGAGTTTGCAGACGAATTCATACTAGTTCGTGCATACAGTGGTTAGTCCGCGGTTTGATAGAATACGTCAAGAGAGCCTCATACCCCTATACCTCGATCTGCTCCGGTGATCGCATAGCGAGGCATTTTGCTCACGAGATATTGCTGCGCCTTATACCGAGGACGAGATGAGGTCGCTTCGTAATCTGACAGCAGAGTTCGATAATAGTGGACGGGAGTGTTCAGGCCCGTCCGAAATCTCGCACCAAAGACAAGGGTTCGCATAAGCCAGTCCGTGCGCAAACACACGCCTCCTAATACTGAAAAATGGGATAGGTAGAGCGACCCGCAACAAGGAATGGACGCTTCAGTTGCTCCGGCATAAAAGCCGTATCAGCATTCGGAAGGCCGGTGGACGATAACGTCGTGATTGTTCGGGTATCTCCCAGACATCGTCCGAGATTCTGGGACCAATACTCCAAGCCGTGGTTGTTGGCTAGCCATCTAACATAGTGGTCAACCAGGAGGTAGGCTCCTTTCACCTATCTCCTCCCACATGACAAACCTCACGGTGGGACAAACATTAACAATGAGATATACCCGAAGAGCTCCATAAGCAGTAGGTACTGCTCATCCCCCCCAAGACTTGATATTGCGCTGACAAACTCGCTGTGCGGGCTATTGCATCAGTTAGAGGGCAAAGCGAATATATGTCGCTGGCAATGCTGCATGTTTCAGAATTTGTCCATCTCTCCAGGCGGAGGCAAACGTAACATCCAGGAAAATGCCATCATACGTCGTGACCGGAGCTAGTCGAGGGATTGGAGTAAGCGAGTTCTTTAGTTGCAGTTCTACTGAAAATGTTGAGCACAGAGTCAGTATGGTTTCATCCAGTATCTCTCTCAGGACCCAGACAATGTTGTGGTGGCCTAGTCCGAGACAAGGTCGCGACAGACCGAAAGATTCAAGAGGATAGCTTAACAAATGTTACAATCCTTTAAGCTGATATTACCGACCGTCGTGCTTTGATCGCCGCGCGAGATGTTGTCGGATCCATGATGGGTGGCTCGCTCGACTACCTGATCAACAATGCAGCTTATGTGTCCCACCTTACGACGGGGAAATTTCTCGATGAGTTCGAAAGCGACCCGACACTGCTAGACGATGACATAAAGACAGCGTTCATCACAAACGTCGTCAGAGTCATCAACACCACCAATGTCCTCCTACCCTTGATCAAAAAGAGCCATATCAAGAAAGTAGTGGGGCTGAGTTCTGGAATGGGGGATCTGGACTTTGTCAATGAGCTTGGTATCTGAGAATCAGCACCATACAGCATGAGCAAGGCGGCAGTCAACATTGTGGTTGACAAGTATAGTGCTCGATATAAGGAATACGGAATCCTGTTCATTGCCATTTCTCCCGCGGTGGTTGATACGGCGGCTGCTGCAGGTGAGGAGCTTTCCAAGATTCATTCATTCAATGACTGATAGTTAACCCTCTCAAGTGCCTGGGATAGAAGGGCTTGTTAAGAAGTTTTTGAAAGCGGCACCTAACTTTCCGGGTCCAATGACACCCCTTGAGTCTGTCGAACAAGTGCTAAGTGTGGTGAACGCGAAAAGTGTGGAAAATGGTGATGGAGGAGCCATTATATCCCTCCGTGGGGGCAAGACATGGTTCTAAGGCACATTGAGACGTAGCTGTGATAGCGTGAATGTGAAACCAACCAGAATTTCCGCAAGCTCTCGACAAGCCCTTCGACGAGACTGTTCTGCCACCGTCCTTTAGTAAATTAGTGGTGAATCCTAACTTCCTGTCGCGGTCGCGGTCGTGGTCTGGTGACTCTCGAGGAGCGTAGTCGCTCTTTCGAATGATATGAAAGAAGTTTCATGCGCATATCCAACATTCTGGTGTTGTATTTGTGAGCTGTAGAAGCCCTTCCACAATTGCACCAGACCCAATCGTCAGTCTTTGCGCATTTGATTGAAATAAAATGCGAGCATTAGCATAGTCCCTTAGTTCCGCGAGGTTTGTAAACATGTTCCTGGTGTGAACCCAGACTCGAGACGGCGACAATGGCATGCGCCAGCTAATCATATGTAGTATTCCCTGAAGGTGAGGTGGAGCACGTCTCTGAAGGGTGTTACTATTGGTAAGATAGTCGGGGCTCTCCAACACCGCATACGGTGTTTCTGGCAATTCCGGATTCCACAACGGCTACCCCGAACACCGCGCATAGACCAAACCAAATTTGCATAGTATATGTACCATGAGAACTCTTTGTGTGCATTCCCGCCGACGACTTGCTACGACATCTTTCAACACCTCCCTTGTTCCGTTGTTCTCCGCGAGAAAGACTTTTCTGAAGCGCAAGCAACCATGGCGAAAGGACTTGGCCACCCTGAGTTTCAACCGTTTAGACCATACGATTTCAAAGCGGCAAATGAGGACTATATGAAAAATGTCTTCTCCAAGCCAAACATGACTGTGGGAGCAAAGTCTCGCGTTGGCATAATCACATGTTGTGATGCAAGATGCAGTCCAGACCAGTTTTTCCGCTTTGGCGAAAACGAGGCCTTTGTCATTCGCAATGGAGGTGGAAGAACTGCAACCATGGATGTTCTTCGGACAATTGCCAGTATCGAAGTACTAAGTGACATCAAAGAGTTGAAGGTCATTCATCACACAGGTATGCAGTGTATGAATGACAGATCAAGGAACGCTTCGCTCATGTCGACACAGATTGCGGCGCTTTAGCATGCTCCGACGACTGGATCCGGTCAATGATATCGAAAAACGACCCTACCATGAAAGACGGACCATTCCTGGCGGGATCGAAACAGTGGGCGGAGGCGTTGACCTACTACGCATTTTCGTGGGAAGAGGGGGAAACGGAAAGAGAAGTGTTGGAAAGAAGCGTGGTAGAGGATGTCCAATTTTTGAGGAGCCACCCCTTGATTAAGCCGTCGATCCCAATCACAGGTTGGATCTTCAATCAAGAGAACGGTGCGGTGGAAGAGGTCGACTGCGGGCTGCAAGATGGACGCAATCCTCACCAGATTGAACTGCTCAAAGAGCAGCTTTCCAAGACTTTGAATGGAGAGATGAAAGGCGTCATTGCAAGTATCGGCAAGACCGCCCACTGATAGACGGTATAAGACGCAGGTGCTCCTTCACCCGTATAATTGGCTCTCTGCTGCATTGCTTTCTGGGGCATTTGTGATATCCGCGGCCTTTTTCTGTCAGCAACAATGAAAAATCACTGCGGGATAGTTTGTACCGTCGTCACGGAGCATCTTTATTCCTTCTTCCTCTGAATGAACTTGTAGGCAGTCTAGCTTGTCTTTGCATGAACGTTCGGACTCTGGTCGGAATGCTGTAATGGTCAGCTGAGAAACCGGTCTCCATACAGCTTCATTGTTGCCCGACCTGTTGGTTGGAATCTTGAAATCAGTGGATATAGAACCCCAAAACACGCGCTCAGGTCTCTTTGCCTGCTCAGACAGACTCTCGCCTAGATTTTGGGGTAATAAGCTCCGCAAACAAGACCACGACATATGGTGAAGTGGTGTTCTAATTGCACAGACCAGCCATTCTGCTAGAAGAGGGTCTGGCAGAACCGATATTCTGGATCACCAATGATTCGCGCGTCAGGATCCCATTTCCCCCTCTTTCAAGCCTTTCGACGATCCGCGCTCCTCTCGAGAAGTCCCACAGCAACACATTCCTAGGGATCCTCATTCCAATCATCAAGGATGCGCCCAGCACGTTCATAACTCTTGTTCATCATCAAAGCGCGTGCATAAGAAGCATCTGGACGACTGTAGAACGCGACAGTTGAGGCTAGGGCCACCACTGGTTCTCTCGGACGAAGAAAGGATGTTGATGTACGTATCGAACCATGGAACACCTTAATCCCCACAGCGAAGAGGCATTATGCTGAAGAAATTTAAGCATGAGCTCGGCTACAGAATGACTGCATGGTGTTTGTGCACAGCTCACAAGCAGCCTTAAGCAGCAGGAAATCAAATCGACAGCAACACGTGCTGCACGTGGCACCGCGTGGATACTGGTATAAAGCGGCAAGCTGCAAAGTTTCGAAATATCTCCCATCCACGTCGTTTGACTTCATCACCTCAATTGCTTCAACTCGGCCCTGGTTTTCCATCACTAAAGCGTCGATGTTGCTCGGTGAGAAGTCCCAGCAGGGTAACAATGATCAGTCTAACCACATCCACAACTTGAACGACTGTTCTTCCCTCTCTATCTGATGTCTCCAGCTTCCTGCAAATAGCCCAAGAACACTCTGCGTGAGTTAGAAAGAGGACGGGAGAGCTCGATCAAGCAAAATGTGATTTAATATCTGGAAACGCACGCATCGCCTTCAATCTATGATGAACATTCGAAAGCTTTCACATAAGAACCATCCATTGGTCTGGGGTACAAGATGTGAGACTCATGGGGGTTGAGTTCGCAGCTTCTACGCTGGAAGTGAGAAGAAGCTATCTGATGGACAGAATATCTAGCTCGTCTTTCATTTCGGCATCCCTGACTTGGATTCTGTCCTCCTTTTGAAAGCGGTGAGTTGGAATCATCACAAGGTCAAATCGGCACAGTCAACATTTGCTTTTTGCGTGATTCCGCCCTGTCTGCAAGGTCGTCTATGAAACAAGCAACTCGTCTTTCTTTTCACCAGTCCAGGCTGACAGAAATCTCGTTGTCTTGTCTCTCGAAAATCCTTCACCAAGGCTGCATATCTACCTGATTTCGCCTAACCAAGAAATCCGAGAGACGACCAACCGCTCTTTACTCGGATCTAGCTCATCTCAGCCTTGCCAAAGACATGGACCCCCGCAAGGAACAAGAAGCTGGTCGACAGCGCATGAGAGACCTATTTGAGCAGAGAGAAATAGACCGTGGTAGCCTCAGACGCAAACGTATATTCAAGACTCCTGAAGAAGAGGCCAAGCAGGCAAAATTGAGACTCACTCCCAACGCGCAAGCCAGAACACAGCGAGAGCTGACGGCAACCCGTGGACCAGCCCCTCTATTCAATGAGAATATCTGGAGCGGTGAGAGACGCGGGCCTTCCCATAGAGAAATACGTTCAGTTAGTCCCCGAACTCGTGTGGATGAAGAGGAGGAACGTGCTATAGGCAACGACAAGGGTGACGTGAAGAAGAGCTCCGTCAGCGACGGCCAGGCCAGGAGGTCGGGATCATCGTATAACGGGAAAATGAACAGCAATAAATCCCATCACTCTGGACCGGCCGACAAAAAGAAGTCTTCTTGAGCCTTTTCTCTGCTGGTAAGTGATTCTGAGCGCACGTGGACTCTGACTTTTAACACTCCCTCTCTGATTCTAAAGCTAACGACCGACCTTTCCAAAGTTACCACCGAACAGCCGTACAGACGTCTTCAAATGAACGTCTCGATGTCTATTGTTCCAGTCGTCAAAGACGGAATGCTAGCTTCCTCTTGGAACATGCCTCGCGTCTGGGGGCTGGGGTGGCGGGAAATCAATTTCACATACACACTACATGAGTCCAGCTTGCGCATAAAAATATTGTCCCCCCGGATGCGACATTCAGGAATCAGGATATTCGGCGATCGATCGTCGTATCAGACCCAACCAAATGTAGGGTTATCCAAGGTACTGCTTACCAGCCATGGGTCGTCGGAAGCCGAGGGTCACTCACGGCGGTGACTCTCTCTCTCTAGAGGAAGCACGGCCCAGGACGAAGTGGACTTGACAGAGGGGAAAATGGTCTTGAATCGTTTCATTTGAAAAGAGTTGGTTGCCGTTCGCCGTTTGGGCTTTTCTGAAATAGAAGGGCTTTCAAACGCATTTAAAAAGAATTCCTGGAACTATTCTATCTCATTCTCATCAAGCTCCTTTTTTGTGTACATTTGTTCCTTCCCCTTTTGTTTCGAATTCATCCTTGAGACCCCTGAAAGCACTGGAGTGGGCAATGCTGTCAGGCCGCTCGATGAGACCATACCCATGGCGTTGCCGGAACGAAACCCTTGCCAGGGCTTCCATGATGACTGATATCATCCACCTAGAACGACGACAGAGAAAAGCCTGTGAACAAACTCCAACCATGGATGTGCCATCCCAAGGGGTATCCAGCGATCCACCCGCCAGGCCGATGACCATATCCGTTTGACCCTTGATACCCGCCAGCCCACGCCAAACAGTTGTTCTGATGGTAGAAAACACACAATGAGAAATAATATGAGGTCCCCATACTGGCCTTTCTCCATGACCATGCGTCCACCATATTATTCCCCCAAGCGGAGGCATGCTTGGAAAACTTGGACCTGCTCAGCCTCTAGTCTCCATCTTCATCCTCGCCCTCACGTCCCCTCTTCGATCCCCTCTTCTCATCCTTCTGACCCTCCTCAATCATCTTGAGAAGGTCGCTGACATAATCCCTCAGTGTCCGACTCACACTCAACACATGAAAGAGTCCGTGCCTATGAGCCGCAAATAATTGCTCATTCAACCCGACCCCATCCTTCTCAAAGGGTTGGCCATGTCTGCTGGCATATCGCGCCAAATTCCGTAGAATCATAACGCTCATCCAGGGTATCCCGCAGGGATGGCCGGTTTGATCCGTCGTTGTGTAGTGCCATTCATGCGTCACCTGGATGGGGTCTGGATCCTTGATGTCTTGCGCCAAGTGGTGGATGATTTTGGACTGTTCGCTTGCCGCCTGGGGAATGTGCATTTTGAAATGAGGACCAATCTCGTTGCTCTTTGTTAGTGCAGATTGTCGTCCGCAACCTGTCCACCGACACATCCACGTTTCACCAGATTTTGGCATAAAGCGCCCTTCGGGCGTCTTCTCGATCTTCAGATGGTCTATCATAATGTGATTCCATAGAGTTTCACGTTTTGTATGCCAAACAGGACATATATTTCGCGGATGGACTTGGCCATTCTGGTCCTGCACATCCGGGCGAGTCATATCCCACAGGCATTTAAAAAGAGGTCGACCTTGAAGATCGACTAGAATCCTCCGGGCCTTGATCCCCTTGATGATGAATCTTGGGGTTGGACCATTAATCACCTGGGCCTGGGCGGAGACGAAGGTGTTTGACACATTCTTGATGAAGTCGGCCGCAGGAACGGGATTGTTCTGCGCAAATTTGCCTTGATATGCTTGCCAAATGGCGATTTGGGTGATGTCGTCGGTCGGAGACTCTTCAAAGCAACAGCGTAGCCACCTTGATGAGCGTTCAGGCTCCACAAATTGCAGAAGATGTGCATGCACTTCGGGTGGAATGACTGGGATTGCGGCTGGAATTGGGGCCACTTTAGGCGCCGGTTTCGCCGCGACGGGTTCTTCGTGCTTGATTGACTGGTAAAGGAGAAGACTCGTGAGGCGCGAAATGATATTTGGTAAAAGATGGAAAGAATTAGCGAGTAGTTCCGTATTGTTCTCGGGAATCGCTGTGTATTCGTAGAGAAAATCGAGCGTAGTTTCGAGAAGTTCGGTGTCGTCAAGGAGGGTGAATGAAAACAATCGTTCGACAGTTGAAAGAGGCACATCAGTGAGACGATGTGCATCAGGCATTTCGAGGCCAATTCTGTTGATTGACCTCAAGGCTGAAATTAACATACTTCGGTCTTCGGACTCGAGGTATGGAAGAAGCGACTTGTACAACGGGTCTTCAGCTTTCATTTCCCAGTACCTGGTGACTTGCTCCGTGATTTCGAGAGCTGACTGCTTGAATTCGACAATTCTAGGTTGGTGTGGAAGTGAGAGGGCAATCGTGAGGAAGTCTTTGAAGAGGGGGAATTTTTGGATAAAAACCGCATTCTCCTCAAGGATCACCATGTTGCGGAGGACGAGGACAGCTTCCTTCAACTTCTCCAATCTCTCTGAAAACTCGGCCGATTCCAAGTCCTTATCCGAGACCTTTGGAGTGACAGCTTGTATGCGTTGAAGCAAGTTTGATGTTCCAAAGGCTGCATTTAGAGTGTTGATGGGTTGGCCTTCATCATCTTCATCGTAGCTGATCTCCCATTTGACATCACAGATCAGTTGGGTGATCTCCAGCGCCTTCTCTAGCAGACCTTCTGCGAGGAAGGGAAATCCTTCGAATTTGTACTTATCGCCGCGCTCGAATGACACCTTGACCAAATGGTGTAAAGCAAAGTCCTGCTCTTCCTGAATCCCTGATCGCAAACCTAAAAGGCACCTTAAGTAGATATTCGGGCCACTCATAGCCGTCGGAATGGACGATTTGAGGAACTGCTGCGGTTCGGGCGGGGATCGAGGCATGCTTGCGGCTTTGAGATGGGCCTTGCGAGCGTAGTACAAAGTGTCATTTCCAGGAGTGTGAACTTGTCGGAGGGTCAATGCGACTGGTTGTCGTGGCTCGTATTTATCAAACCAGTCGTAACTTGGGGTGCGCGGGTCATTTGAGGTGTTTGTGTAAGGCGGTTGCGAGGGTGGCGGCACAGAGGGAGAGTCGGCTGCGCGGACATTGCGACTGCGCGGAGGCGCCGTGTCTGGCTGGAACATCTGCGTGCGCTTGGGGTCTTGTCTCAATTGGCCTAGAGTAGTCGCGTTAATGAAGGTGAAGGTAGAAAGATTTTGGTGAGACGGTGGTGAGAAGACATACGCGTGGGATATCTGCTTGCGCTTCCTTGCTCTTCGGGTTCGGTCTTTTCGCGCTTGGGCGTCACCTGCACGTCGTCTTCAGCGGACTCTGCCCCTGCTCCCCCAGCGTCCGCCATCGCAGACTCGATCGCCCCTCGATAGCTAGGTGGAGGATAGTTTTCGCGCGTCCGGGTTCGCAGGTCGCCGCCTTTTGCACTGACGTCCTCAAGGATGTCTCTTGGCGGCGGCTCTTCCCCCCAAAATGTGGCGATTTCGTACGCCCTGTTCACAAAGCAAAGTCACGGGAGTGTCAGTGAAGAGTGCACACAAGGAAAAGAGGACGTGTTTGGTGTCACTTTTGGTCACTCACGCTAGATTCTTGTAATATACCGTTTTGAGTTGAAATGTCATGACGGCCTCGTGGGTTTTGCCAAAGCCAAACTCCTTGACGAGGGTCCTCCATTGCATTCGTTCTGAAGACACGGCATCATATCCGCCTCTTTCCATGACCAATCTATATAGCTTGTGCAAGGAGATGGGCCGGCCACTAACTTTGCCCTCGCGGTCGAAGGGGGTCCTGTTGCAAGGATGGTTCTGTCAGCCTGCGTACCGTATGGCTTGTAGTCGCGCAGGAATACGCACCCTCGTTGCTCGTGAAATGCGGCAACATCATTGAGAAACTCTTCCTCACTCTCGATCATCCTACCGGGCGGGGTGGCCATCTTGGTCTTCGCTGGTCGAGCGCACTCGGGTTGAAATATCACCGGGAAATATCTGCTGGATCGGTCTCGGTCATGGCGGCGCCGTGGCGTCAACGAGGGAAGCAAAGGCAGTGGCCAAGGGAGGCGGGGACAGAGGATTGAGGTGAATTGGAAGCGATGTCAAGAATTTCAACGAAGTGATGCTGGTGCACTGTGCTTTGCAGTTTGCAGTTGAGCAGTTGAGGCGCATTCACTCTTCCGCCCTTCACTTTTCTCGGCTCCCGCCGCTCGGATCATCATTCCCGAACTGGCTGCCGCAGTCACTAACCAAAGTGGTACGTACCGAGTACGCGGCGAGGACGGTACTGGGTACTTGGTACCTGAATTCCCAACCTTGAAACTCTCATCGTCCTCGCTTCCATCATACTCGAACCACTATCCCACACTGCTCAAGGCCATGTTCTTGGCCATCTCTATATCTCTGCTGGCTCAAGTTACCACCTCCCGCATCTTTCGTGGTAATGTCCTGCTGTAGTTCTGCTGAGTTATGCCGCAATGCCTTCTCAAGGATCTCAAATACTGTCTCAATTATCTCCCTTGTGCCTTCCTTTGCTCAAATTTTCTTATGCTACGGTGTCTAATGAAAGTATCGCTCCTATACCATGGATCCATCTCTCCAGCAAGGATGCTCTCTTTGCCATCTTTGAAACCAGCCCTATTCAACTCGAAGACGGTCGGGCTGAGGAGAGGCAAAAGTTCAAAGTCTTACAAGATCCTGAAGTCATGGTACAGGGAACCGCTTCAGAATCGCTCTTTGGTCATTGCGGACAATGCTCATCAGCTTACAGGAAGAATTGGACCTCAATGCGCTGTCGGTCGAGGCCCATCGTGCCCTAATTCAAGCACCGGCCGCTACAGCTGTCAATGTCCCTCACGTCGCCATCATTGTCAAAGTGCCTATGATCGCCATCAAATATCCCATGGCCAATGGACAGGTGACAAACACCCATACCAAAGCCTTCATTGCTCACCAGTCTCCAGATCCGACGTTTCCAGATTCGCTTCTCCAAAAACGAAGACTATTATGAAGCTATGAAAATGCTTTCGCGGGCTAATGTGCCTACTGTCGAAGCCGGTACCTTTCCAGATCATAAGCCACAAGCAGCCCCAAGACCAGCTGCACCCAGCCTAGTAGCACCCAGTGACTCTGCCTCCCAGGTTGGATTGTCAATAATGGGGCCGAGGAACTACGATGACATGTCCGCACTCTCGCTGTCTCGACCGGCAGCAGCTGCTCAATCTGCAATGCCTCCGCCACAGATGTTTCTAGCACCTGCACAACCAGCACAATGTCCTTCGCGTGTACGGCCACTAGCTGATGGGGACTCGCGTTCAGCTTATGTGTCAGACCTCGGACCTAGATATCCCAAATCTAACATTTCACTCAGTACCGCCACGACTCTTGTTCCTGAGAAACAGCAGCCGAGATTCCGTGCCACACAACCCCGACCAAGGCCCGAGGATGGTGTTGACGTCCACAGCCGGCAATCGACCAGAGTGTGTCAGCAACACCTCGGGTTTCAAGCGCCTCGGGGCGAAACAGGCCTAGGACTTCGTGGAGGGCAATTGGTACCGCAGACAACAATAGCTGAAGTCAATGATCAGAGCTGCTCCATGCCTTCAGGTGGGGATGCCGATTCTGCTAGCGAAAAAGGGAGAAAGTATCGACAGCCTACGAGTGTGGAAGCGAACAACTCAGAACCTACAACCACCGCAACCGCAAAGGGTAGGGGAAAGCGAGGTGTTGCGAACAAGGCAGCAAAGACTCCAGCAGTCAAAAGGCCACGAACTGCCGCAACACGTAAGAAGACCGCCACAAAGAAATCTCAAGAAGACAAGCGAGTGCCAACCGTGGATGAATTGCTTCAACAACCGGGATACAGTTTGCTCCCAGACGGCGCGATCACTAAGCCCCGAAGCTTTTCGCGTGCACAAAATAACCTAGCGGAATCCGACCAGACAAAGGGCCTGGAGATTGCCGAAACAGAGTACGATGTGGACCAGCCTCCAGCCCAGGGTAGCGCTTGCCTCGGGGGTACAGCAACTAGGCACATAACTCGCTCTGCATCTCGAGTTCTCTCAAGTGTTCCAATACAACGCGCCGCAGGGGACGACAGACATGTCTACAAGACTGCACCTCCGCCGTGCACGCCGGCAGACCAGACCATTACCAACGCTCTAACTCCAGCATCGCCAGTAGCTCAGGCGCATACTACTGCCGCCCTTGCTCAACCTATGTGTCTTTCGCACTCAGGAGAGCCAGAAGCTACGCCAGATTCGCAAGCACAAACTCCACCGCTTCCTGTAACCGACGACGTCCTCCTTGGCCTTGCTCAAAAGTGCCTTTCTGCAGACCCGGCCTTCGACCTCTGCTCCGCCCGCTCCCGCCTCGAGGCCTGGCTCAGCCTACCCGAGCCAACACAAGCGACGGCACTGAGGACCTATTTCTGTGAGTTAATTATGACGGATGGGTTCAGCCAATTGTGCAGGAGCGTCGACCTGTTTTGGGAGGGCGCCATTTTAGAGGGGAGGATGATGACGATGACAACGGCAGCGACGGAACTCAGTGCAGGGATCGAAGCAGACCAAGAAGATGTTTAATTTTTTTTTTAAAAAAAAAAAACAAAAAAACAAAAAAAAAACCGTACAGCAGAATTGGCCGCATGCCGGGGAAACGAAGACAAACGGGAGCACTCAAAACCAAAAACCAAAAAAAAGGAAAGTGAGCATCACCCAGGAACCGCGGCCATACATGCATCCATGCACTCGCTAATCCACTCGAGAAAAGCGAGGATTTGACAATTTTCCAAAAGAAAGGACGTCAGAAAAAGGAATTTATTTGCCAGAAGAACTTGTGTCTGCGCGCAGAAGCAGCAACAACGGACGCAATGCAATGGCATTTGGTTTTTCAGATTGCTCTTCGCCTAAGACCTAGACATGGTCGCAAACATGGAGCTGGACCTGGGCGTGGTGGGCAGAGGACGTACGTGTTAGGGAATGATGTAGGTTTGAGCTTTTTGTGGGAAGAAAAGCAGTATTCCACTCAATGGTAATTACTTAGAATTACTTCGTACATATGCAGCAATAGCTACCTAAGGATGGATGGGGTTTTTCAATGTCTGATGTCTACCATGAGATAGATGACAGCAGTTATGCATGGAATTCAACCAAGATCATACGCTTCTTGCGAGTCGAGACATCCATGTTAAGAAGAGGAAGAGAAGCATGTCAATTCAGTGGACAGCGATCTATTCATGCTGACTCAATCAATTCCTCTCAAGCTATCATCTATCTGGGCAGTAGAGGAAGCGCTCCTCTACCATAATCTATTAACCTGCTCATGTTGATGCTCGTAGCACGGATCGTTTGTGTGGCGCACAAGGGAAACAGCGAGCGGGTCGCATCAGCCTTTGCTACGCTAAGTTACGGCAGTAAGGACAATGAAAGATGAGAGTGGTGGTGATGCCCAGTAACTCCTATTTCCTTTTGAGGCTTTCATCACCAGTCAAAACACCTGTAGCAGCACCAATAGCCTGCCCAAGTATTCGAGCCATGAAAAAGAAACCCAACATACACAGCACAGATACGCTAGGTCGGAGAGAACACAGCAACCAAGGAATACATTGCTTGAGAGCTGATTCGAGAAAAGCGAGAGCTTGCTGAAGAGAGAGATCAACAATCGTGAAAAGTCGGAGGTTTGAATGTGTCTGCATTTTTTGTCCCATTGAGGCGCCGCAGAAGTGGCTTTGCTCGTAGAGAGTCCCCTGCTCTGCAAGTTGACAAATACACAAGGCGTATTTGAAAAGTGGAAAGGAAAAGGGTGGTCGTGTCTGGACCAATGCGTGCACCAGCGACGTCGTCGTCTCCGCGCTGCAACGCTGAAGGTCGTCTTAAACAGAAAAGGAAAACGCCATGTGCGAGGTCCCTCCAACCAGGATGCTGTCACCAAAGCTATGACCCGGTACAGCACAATGATGCGCGCACAAAAGAACAGGTGAAAATTCTGGGGTATAGCTCGATAGGAGCTCAAAAAGTGAACATCGCTATCAGGTCGCGTCCAAACCTCATCTCATCCGACGCCCAAGATGATCCCTGAAAGACGATGAAACACCGTTCCGAACGCCGGGCTAAAACGCAATTGAAGTTGAAGAAGAAAGAACACCGCTAATATGACAGCATTCGGTGGTTGCGAGTACGCAAGACGTCAACCCCAGGTCTTGGTCCAGCAACAGGGGTATACTGCAGGCCTATGTCAAGGTCCATGTCGCTGTCCAAGTTTCTTCGGCCCATGGCAGTGGGACTGGAGTCAAGAGGTGAATGTTGGCCAAAGGCGAAGGTCTGGGCTCGAAGAAGTTTGGATCTTTGTTTCACTTTCCCGAGACCACGCTCGCAGTCAAGAACGTGTTCCTTTGCAGCCATTTCGACATAGTTCTGAGGGTAACATCGTGATCGATAATCCTTGAAAAAGGTGCTATAGCCACCATCTAGTATGTAGGCTTCGGGGTATGTGAGTGCCGGATAGCGATCAGCATTGACAGCCCGGTCTTTGTTGCGGATGTACTTGGCCATAAGAGGCGCTCGATGAGCAGAATATTCACAGTGGAAGATAAGGAGGGCTCTTGGGGTAGGCTCGACGTCGAAAAGCTGGGCCGACAGCTTTTCCTTGTCGTTGAAATTTACAGCACCTTCAATATGGCCGCCCTCATACTCGTACTCGAATCTGCAGTCAATAATAACTCTCTTCTCGTACAGATGATCAAAGTGACCGTCTAGAACTGAGACCATTGTCTCCTTTGTTATCCTAGGCAGGCAACCGGTTTCACCTTCCGGCGTGAAGTGGGGTAGCTGAGGAACATGAGGTGCCTCAACGTCCATGATTGAAGGCAATAGCGGGGGAGGGCTGAGTCGTTCTTTTTCTTGTCTCATTATGTCTTCCGGGTGCTCAAACATGCTCAGAGATCGTCGGAATTGCTTTCGGGGCCTCACAAGAGGATTGGAAGTTTTTCTCATGTGATTTCCGACAGGCGACCCATTGCGAGATGAATGTCCAGAACCAGAGAGACTTGGACGAGATCGAGGAGGAGCAAAGGCCGGCGCACCTAATCTTGGGGCCAACTTCTCCTGGCTGGGTGAGTCTGCAAATATCTCGGACAGTGACAGCGAGGAGGATGTTGCAGGTTTGCTCGAATAGCAGCCATTGCCGAATCTGAACGGTGGTAGCTGGCTTTCGGGCGCAGGTCTCTGGGACAGGCTGCCGGTGCTGAAGCCCTTAGCTCTGGTTAATGACGGCCGCAGAAAGCCTTGTTTCCGTCTGTCTTGAGGGAGGTTGATCTGGAATGACTCGGTAGGCGAATCACAAGACGGTGAAGGAATCGACAGTGACGAAGTATCAGTGGGCGTCAAGTCCGGTGTCGGTGACTGGAGCTGTATTGCCACTGTACAGAAGGGCATTTTGTGCGGCAGGGGTGAAATGTCCAAATCCATGTCCATCGTGTCATTAGGTGCGGGAGAGGAAGACGGTATAGGAGGTGTCGTGAGGTTTCCTTTTATTTTTGGCAACGTCAATTGGGAGATTCGTTCACCAACGACAACCCTGTACTCACTGTGGCCTTCTTGTGCAAAGAAGCTGTTGGGAAAGAGTGCCCTCCTAGGAGTAGGTAGTTGCGGACTGAGCACTAGTTAGCATTGAGGTGAATGGTTTCTGTTATGGCAGGCTGGATGCAGACCTCTGGTCAATGTGGAAATTCTGTGAAAGATCGGCAGCCAGGCTGGCGGTGGGTGAAGACCCCCGAACCGATTTGAGGCTGAAGTAGTCCGGTTTTGGTTTCTTCATTGACAGATCTCTGAAGTTGAAGCTGTTTGTGCCAAATGATTTGGCAGCCGCGAACGACGCAAAGGACGTAGGCCCGTCTGCTCTGTAGCCACCACCGCAATGTCCCATAAAAGTCGGAGGCTGCATTGCCGCCAACGGTGATGAAGCCTCAATCATGTCGCCGAATACGAAGACGTTGACTCAATTGCTTCCTCTTATATTCCCATTGACCAGCCACCCCTTCTAGAAAGGCCGTCGGTGAACGATACCACAAAAGGTTCTGTCCGTTCGGATCTCGTCCGGAAAAAAGTCGGTTACACAAGGACGTCGAGGTCGAAATCTCGGCGGAGATGGAAAGAATTCTAGTCGATCGGTGTCAACTGAGGCTTGGGCAGATCGAGACTGGTCTCTTCTAAGCAATCATACTGCTCAAGGTCCCGAGGGCTCGTGGGGGTGGTGGTCAACTGCCAGTCTGCCAGTGATGGTGAGGCGAAGGCGGTGGTAAAGATGCCAAAGCAAATGGAGAGATGGACCACCGAGCAGGAGCCTCTTCTCGCACTGACAGGAGACAGAAGACTGAGAAGAAGCGCCCTTTGACCTGCAGCTCGGTGGCTTGAAGAAGGAGGGGAGAAGGAGAGTTTTAAGGCCGGTGCAAAGTCAGGTCCTTGTTGTTGCTGGGCAGCATTGAAGTTGGAGAAGTGGGCGGGACGACGCCGGGAGCAGAATCAGCTTAGCTGGGGCTTCACTGGGCCTCTCGCTGGATTCACTGCAGTCTGCAAGGTACAGAGACCAAGCGCCCCAAGAGCCCCAAAGAGCCTAGAGACGCAACTGCGGGGCCTCGAATCCAGAAGACTGGTTGGCACCGAACAACCGCTTGGCTTTGTCACTGGCTTTTGGCGCTGGCACTTCCGCTGGCACTCCCACAAGCATTGACAGCCGCTGGAGGCGTCGGATGATCCCTACTGTGTATGGCTCGAATGGTCAAGTATGTTTTCTAGCTAGCTATGATTTACTGTTACCGGTCGAGATGCACGCACGCACATTTCACTCACACACAGACCAGCAGACCGGGAGAACAAGGTCCAGAGCGCGGTTCAATGTGACGAGTGACAAGTTCAGCTGTGCCCGCCCCGACGCCCGTCGAGTATTGCCCATTCCTGCTTAAGCTGCTAAACCTAAGCCCACCGGACTGCCTAGGCTCCACCTCCACAGCCCAGAAGGGCCCCAGGCTAACATGCCAGGTAGCTCTCTGTGCCTGGAGCCTCGCAGCGGGCGTCCTGCCCTAAGGACCTGAAGGCCTTTTAACAAACTTTTCACATATTACGAACTTGCTCCACCTTGGCTGCAACACCATGTTTGTTCCAAGTTCCTCGTTTTATCACACAACCACTCAGCGCCATCCACTCGATGGTTTCTCCATTGCTCCCCTCCTGCACACGATGTCATCGTCTCGATGTTCTCTTTTAATCGGCTGATCGTCATCCGATAGACAGGTACAATCGCCCTGTCGGCGGTCGCAATGTCCTCGACCCATTTCTCGATCTCGATTGGAAATTCTTACTCTGTTCAACTCCATGTCCATAGCGCTTCGCCAGCCTGCCCCAACCAATACCTCGCAGTCAATTTGATCACAGGATGGAAAGCCTTCCACCTCGGCGGGAAATCTCTTCTCCTCAAGCTAACGCTCTGTTAGGAAGGCTAAAGCACCTTCAGCGCATCCTGCAAGCCTCCAAACCTCCGTTCTCCGTTCTTGAGCAGGATTGACAAGGTTCATGCGCCATGACGCGAGGTTGCCCCGTGCAATAACCGACCGCTATCGGCCTATCACAGATGGAGAGCTGCAGGCCAGGAAAGCTGTGCTCTGTTTTGGTGCTCTTATTTGGGTTTCTCCATGTCATCGTGGTCAACCCAACTGGCCTCCATACCGATACGTCCGACCCGAGCGGGCGCGGTGTTATTGTCCTGGGCAAAAGGGCGCGTGCGGAAATCACGTTGTCATACTTGAACACAAGGAATGAACTGCCCTGTGTGTGTGGACAAGCACAGAGCAACACGAAATCAGTAAAAATGCCTGGATCCTTTGCTTATTTTATTCTTAGCTTGTTCGAGCTGCCTCCCAGACCTCCGCGCTGGAATTTGCATTCATACTGTAGGAGTTCACTGATCAAAAGGATAAGCATCACCCACTTCATCATTGCGGCACTCATTCACGTGGGCACCAGCAGAAGGACATCCATTCCGCTCATCAGTGATCAGTCGATGTATTGCGCCATCCTCCGTCCTTATCATGGTTGGTCATCACCGCCCCTCGTAGTTTGACCCATTCAAGCATGGCTTCAGGCCCTAGGGTGCTTCATCCTCTCGGCTGTGGCTGTTGTCCCCGGAAACACCGTACGAATGGACACTGTCTTTACGCAAAGCTCGCAAGGCTCACACATGTCCAAGCGAGCTTCTGGCCCTTCAATTGAAGTCGAGTCTGTTCACATGATGAGCCCTCGCCCGTTCACGAAGACAGATGAAGCACATTCTGTCATGCTACACAAGTCCTTGTTTTCGGCAAGCTTGTTTCACACTAGTCGTGGTTGTTATCGGCTGGGGCGTTCAACCACGGATCCCCCACATTGTCCATTGAGGATGGATCTCAGTCAACAGCTCGACGACATCGATTTTCGTGGACCTGCCGACCTTCAGACTCTCGCTCCTACGTCATTCAATAAGAATTGACTTTCTGTTTCCTTGGTTTTCATATCAACTTCTGGATGTCCGAACTGCAGACACTGTACAGGATATTAAATCAAAGATTATGTCTCCAAAGCCCAAACAAAATACGGTTTCTCGCGTGTTAAGGTGACGCCGCCATGTGGCCCTATTTAAGGCTGACGGAGGGGCACAAGAAGCAATACCTGGGTCAGCGTCGAGATGACAGGCTGGTCCCCGCTCAGTGTGACACTGCCATAGCCGGAGCACCCCGGAGAATTTCCTAGTGTGACTTGCTGTGCAGCTCTACCTAGGGAGCTCGTAATGCTTGCGAGCGAGCTCTTACACAAAGCACAACCCGATCTTCGATCATCTTCAGAGCCCGAGTAGTTCTTGGTGCCCGAGCGATTGCATCGATGGTTGTCTCGGCTAGTCGCCATCTCGAACGGAATACAAACCACATCGCACGGGGTGCTCCTCAAGCTCTCCAACTGATGGATGGACAGAAGCAACCTTTTTGACTGCATCCAACCACTAACCGGGAGACGAGTCTGCCAAGAATAAACAAACATCAACAATGAGCGCGTAGTGATTGACCATCTTGTTTTCTGACCAACCACACGGTTCACACCTTCAACCTAACGAAAATTTCCATTCAACCACTTTATTCTCTGCAAGATTGGTATCAATAGAAGGGCCTCTCCGAGATGAATCTATTGACATAAAACCTCATCTCCAGATTCGCGTTTGTTGTTAAATTGCCGGGCGCCGGAAGTCTTGGCCCCCAATCCGCGAAGCTCTCGCGTCTACACGTGACTCAACGTGACCGCTGAAGAACGTCGGTCAACATTGAATCAACGTCAATCGACCTATTCTTTCACCACCTGGGCTGTCGCAACATCTCGACTATTCCAGTGCCTCGCCTAGATGTTGAAGAGTCTATCGCTATCTACAAGTCTAGGTCTACTCAATTGACCAATCAGAATGCTTCAAAATCTGATTCCTCGTCAAGACCTGGCCCTGTCGCTGCCTGGTTACTACCTCTGGTGAAAACCTGCCACTCCCGGTCGTGACCGATCATCATTAAGTCTTTTTGCGTGAAATAATGCTATAGGAGGCTGAGGTTGGGCCTGCAGATCTTCGGTCCTAAGCCAGGACCTCAATTGTGGGTGCGATGTACCTAGAGATCGGTCAAGGGAGCCGAACTTTGGACAGACGCGGTACGGTTGCAAAATGCGGTTGGCTTAAGCATCTCGACTACTCGGGTTGATGACAACGCAGCTAAATTGAAAAACAAAAGTGGTACACTCAAAAGTCCTGCGCTGTCAGAAGCGGAGGAGGCCTTCGTTGGTAATATGGACTCTGTCCTCTACCTACGTCATTAGCTGCGTTCGATATACCGACCACTTCATCCTTATTGAGCGGCCTTTAGCAACATAGATACAGCGTGTATTTGGGTTAGACTGTGTCAATTAATTTTTAGTCCGGCTTGACCGGTCGCCATGTCTACGATTATCTCCCGTTGAACCAATATTGGGCTAGTAAGTTCATTGATTGATTAGGAAGGAAGAGAGGTCCTCTCCGTGATAAAAGAGACTTAATACCAGCCTAGTAAGTACTAAGATCCCGAAACTCGCCCCCTTCCGCCTTTCTCTCTCCCTCTCACAAGACGCATCACTCTTACAGCTCTGGCCATTCCTGTTTGTTGCCCTACTGTCCTGCTTTGAACGCGTTCGGTGCCTGGTGAATTGTCCTTCTTGCTTCTCCATTGATTTGCCAATTTCTCATAGCACGCTGTCTGGTCCACCTCTTCGATCGTTATTGTGTTGATACTCTTGTTGTTCCCAATGGTATATTCTGCCCTGAACGTGTTCGCTGTCTACGGTGTGATTCGAGCCATCTTAATTGCCAATTGTTCGTTGTCTTGAATGATCTTTTTCGAACGTCGTTGTCTTGTTCTCGTTTGGAGCACAACGGCACCAGTATCGTTCATGTTGATCATCTCGATCCGTTCAGTTGTCCCGTCGTTCTGCGGCTGTTGATCATCTATAATCCGTGTCCATGTTCGGCCGTTCTCCGGCTGTTGGCTTGTTGAAACAAGCAGTAAATATCCTCAGGGAAGCAAAAAGAGACTCATAACCTGTTGAATCAATCAACTGATGGCCCCAGATCGGTTCATCATCTACATTCCCAGCGACATTCAAGTGATCCTCTACGGACCCACTGCTGCGGCAACCTCTCCTTCGCCATACACCGCCGCAGGAACCCAACCAGGTCGTCCACCCCGCGCGGCTCGTTCAGCCAGTGCCTCCCGTCCTCGTACTCGCTCCACTCGACCCCCTGGTGGCTCCACGTATTGGTCAGCTCGTCGCGGAGATGCCGCCCATGGGAGACGGTAATGACTTCGTCATCGGCGCAGTGCTGTAGCATTACCGGTAGGGTCCGCCACGCTTCACAATCGGCCGGGCGGTGGTAATGGGCGCCCTGCTCCTTCTCATCCACTTCGACTTGTCGCGGCATCCAACTCGACAGGCCCGCGAGCCCGGCAAGCCCGGCCATGCGACGCCACGCGTTGCCGTCGCGGCTTATCAGCGCCGCAATCGCAGCCGCACATCCCTGGCTGATGCCGCACACGAAGATGCGGGTCGTAGGGACCAGCCGCTCCTCGGAGTCCAGCGTGTGCAAGATCTGCGAGACGACGCGCCGGAGACCAGGGCGTTGGAGGGCCGCATGTTCAGCCTCGCGGGGATCCTCGGTCGTCCACATGTCAAACCACTGTGGCATTTCCGAACGGAGGCGCGCGGACCACAGCATCGGTGCCTGAGGGAAGACCCAGCGCACGGTCGGGAGGAGGGCGGGTAGTGTGCGGTCACTATCCGCGAGCTCTGGGCTCGCCTCGCTATCAAACAGCTCGTTGGCGAACTCGTGCGCACTGCTGTCGCGCCCGTGGAGAAAGATGACGGTGTGCGTGTGCGAGTGGCCCGGTCGGGGGCTCGACCACGTACGGTTCTGGGAACTCCGACGACACCATTCTACCGTTGCTGAGAGAATTGCTGGGGAAGAGCCGTGACCAACCGTCCACTTCAGTACTCTTGTTCGTGATTTAGCTCTTCTCAATTAGACCAGACTCCGTATGCGGTACCAGAGAATTGCATTGGCGCACCTCGTAAACGCGGTAACCAATCCAAAAAGTTGAAGACTTGTTTACTATTAACCAATCTGGGCACGGATCCTTGAAAAAGATTGGTCTTGGCACTATACCGAGTACTAGAGCGGAAATTGTACTGTAGTAGCCCTGGGCATCACGTGATCTCACGTGACTTATTGGCCTAGCGGTACCTACAGACAGCTAGCTCGCTGGCACCAGCACTCCTCTATAGCCCACAACAGGATACCCCTGATCCTCGCTCTGGCTCCTACAGAATGAGCCGTGCTGAGAAAGATCTCTGGGAGTATAACAAGATCTTGCACCCTGACAGCCTTGCCGGTGTCACTGACGACACCGTACGCAGATATCTTCCAAAAGCTGATGAGTTTGTTTCCTTCAGTCGTTTCATTGCTGGCTCTAGTGTTGAAGTAAAGCCTTTGAAAGGTCACTTGTACCCTTTGGTATCTATTCCGTCTATCAGCGATGAGCTGACAAGTCTATTGTCCTCTATCCATTTTCTTGGATTCAGCGTGTCGTGTTGCTACCTCGGGTGAGGAGTTTCAACTAGAACACCGATCAAGCTTTTAGGCTGTCATGCGTAAGACATCATCTCACCGTCTCCTCTCTAACCATTCAGTTCTCCTGCTCAGAAATACCCCTCAAACAGCCACCTTAACTTCTCCAATGCCTTTTCCCCTCGTCCTTCGGGGTAGGTACTGACTCCAAATTTCCTTGCCCCGGCAAGGTGCGTGGCTCGGACAAGGTCGTCGTGTTCTTCTTTGGAGAGCTCGTCTAACACGGCAGCAATGAAACGGCGGGCGTTGACGGCGTTAGCACGCATGTGTCCCATGACCATCTCGACGGAGACGTCGCCGTGGACGTCGTGCCAGCACTATCATGAATTAGACAAACCGGGCAGCGCGGTGTGTAGGAATGACAGAGAAATCACTTAGAGGGAAGAGTCTTCTTGTGTCAACGTGAACGGAGATGATAGAATGGTACCTACATCATAGTCCGTACTCATCAAGATAACCTGATAGGCGATCTCGGCCTCGGCAGCGAGTTTGGCTTCTGGTAAGGTCGACATATTGATAACAGTACCGCCCCAGGTGCGGTACAGGTTTGACTCGGCGCGAGTGCTAAATTGCGGTCCCTCTGTTGAATTTGGGAGGAGTGTTGGTTAGTCATGCAAAACAATATCCGTCACCAAGTCGGAGGCCTGATGCCTCTGGCTAGCGTTCATCATATTTCTCCCCTCATTACAGAAGGAGAGAATAGAGACGCAAGGCTAGGAATGCCAGTAGGCCAAGAGGACCAGAGATCCCTACAAAAAGCAAGGCTAAACGATCGGCACGGACGCACACTTGCTCGTCTGCTCGTCGCCCTCCCCAAACCCTCTTCATGTGTTCTCGCCCCAAGCCGCTCAACTCGTCGCATAAGGCATAGCCAACGACTCGCGGAAGAGAAACCTATGGTTTTGAAACACACCACGTAAAGGGAAAGAAGGGGGGAAGAAAAAGCAAACTGCGAAGGCAAAGAAATAAAACTTACCCATAACAATCAACGTGCCTGAATCATGCAACACCACGCCGTCTCCCTCCAGGCTATGGCCGCACTGCCTCACCACGTCCCCTACCTTCGCATCAAATGGATCCGCGAAGGGGACATGACAAACCACGCCTTCTTCGAAGAAAGTCCACGGCCTGACCCCTTTGGTCCGATCAATAACCTGGTCCGGAACGACAAAATCTCTCGGCTTAACCTCTTCCGCCAAACTTCCCGCCGCGGAAAAAGCGATGATACATCTGACGCCGATGTGGCGCAAGGCGGCGATGTTCGCGCGGGAGGGGACTTCATGAGGCGCAAGGGCGTGGTGTGGTCCATGGCGGGCGAGGAAAGCGATGGGGATGGGATGGCCGGTGGTCGGAGAAGGGTGTTCGAGGATGGTGATGGGCGAAGACGGCGGGCCCCATGGCGTGTCAACGGTTAGAATGGCGGCTTTGCGGAAGTCAGGCAGGTGCTCCAGCCCAGTGCCACCGATTACAGCGATATGAACGGGGCCTGTGAAGGACATGCACCTCTGTCAGTCTCTCTTAGACGAGAGAGACATAAGGAAGAGGGGAAGGAGGGGTATTGAAGAAGAAACAGACCCGGATATGTAGTCGCGATGTGTGCCGGTTCGATTTTGACCTCCATCGTTACCGACCTCAATGAATGCTAGGGAAGTCGGTGCAAAATAATATTATATATCTCCAAGTCGGCAGCACTTCCTGCAATAACCCCTCCTCAAAAAAGGTAGGCAAGAAGACAAACCACTTGCAGTGAAAGGTGACTGGGCAAATTGGAGACGCGGTAGTCTGGGGTTAACACTGGAATCCCAAGTGTACAAACGTTGAAAGCAAATGGAAGAGGTTGGATTGAAAGATTGGCAGCAGGAGTCCACCGCAGAGTTGATTCTCACGTCTCGCCGTCTGAAAAGTTGATATTCGCCGAGTCAGGGTTGATATACGGCTTCGGATTAATATTTGGCCGAGAAAGATTCCTTAGTCGCTGAGAAATTGCGCCATCATTCTCTGCCCGAGAATACCGAGTACACTGTGTGCGCATTACGAGGTGAACAGTTACAAGAATGCATCAAGGATAATTACGGGATCCAGATGCTCTAAATCACTCATCTTGGTGTCACCGTCGTGGTCATCTCCCACGCTTCTCCCATCCATTTCCTGTCAGCTCCTTCAAGGCTGAGACATTCTTTTATCTTCCTTGATATTATACAAGCATCTATATCTCATTATACTGGCGGCCTCCAGCAGCAACATGTTCGAGGTCCCCGATGCAAAAAGGTAGGTTCCCCCCTGAAAGGACAAACACGCAGCTTTCTGACCCGAGAAGGGTCAAGAGATCGGCTCTTTTCCGAGAAGACGACTCGCAAGGCTCGCGCGCATCGACCAGATCTGTCTCGCCGGTAGAGCCCACCGGTGACGAGGGAGAGAATATTGTAGAGCCAACGTATTGTTTTGAATACGACTTCATCGCCCCAAGATCATCCTCGCCGAAACCACCTCTAGCATCAAGCAAATCTCAACTAGGGGTCAACTCGCCGGAAGAAGAACAGGAATATCAGTTCCGCCTGTTCGCGTCTACCTCGAAGTCTACCGCTGAGCCCTCTAAGCCCAATCCGACCACCGCCGACTCCAGAATCAGGCTTTCGCACACCCCAGAGCCTGTTGCACTTGCCGACTCATTGTCTCTGGACAAAGCACAATTTCTTCGTCCCAATCGCCCCGACTCATATTATTTCACCTCCGCGCTCCCAGAGGAGATGACTCAAGTCCTAAGATCACAGTATGCAGACGTTGCCGTGTCATCCTCGGACGTCATCTCTAGAGCAAAATCAACTAAATGGCCCGGAGCTGCCCTCCCTTGGCGTCTGATTCATGTTGAACTGCTTGGTAAAGGTCGCCAGCTCAAGGACACTGTCCAACCCGCTGGATCCATTTCGAATACCCGGGAATCCAAATCGAGTCCAAAGAGACCTTCAAAGAAACGGCGCATCCTCCTCCGTCGCCGCCTTGCCCTGCGACAGGAACTCGCCGCACAGACAAGGGCTGCAGAGGAGACGGAACGGGAGAAGCGCACACGACGGAACCGTGAAAAGAAAGTGAAACGGAAGGAGAGGGAGAAAAGGAAGAAATTGGAAGCCCCGGAGGCCGATGGAAAGCATACAGGTGATGAAGAAGGAGAGGGTGATGAGAGAGGTGAAGTAGAAGAAGACATTCTGGCGAAGGAACGACATCCCAAGACAGACGGCGATGTAAAGCCGAACAGTGACCAGAAGGACAATATCCGGTCGGAAAGGAACTCAGCTTCCCCTGTCAACACTCTAGTCTCCGTATCCACTTCCAAGGGGGCTGCTACGATTGCGACGTCGACCAACGCATCCAAATCTTCGGCGCCGACACGACGAGCTCCTACGTCCAGAGCGCTGACCGCGGCTGTTCGGCCACCACAGCGGACGTAAGAGCCCCAAAATCACTGCATCCCACGCGGCCACGGCTTAAGCTGCTAAGAGGTTGACTGAGTTTGCAAGCTGGTATACAAGTTAGGCTTTGGAAGTAACTCAGATCAATATTCAATCGAAGAACATCCCTATCGCCCATTTTCATATGCGCTTCAGAAGAAATCAGTTAACGATACCCTCTAAACACGCTTTTGAACCGGTACAAACTGTCCTCCCATTCGCAGAGCCAATCCCGGTACATTATGGTAATCCCATCAATGATATACTCGGTTCGCCGCGAGATGTCGATACCCATGCTCGTCGAGAAGTCATCCCTAGCTGCAAACCCCTGATCGCAAAGTCTGCGGCAAATTGGCGCTTCGCTCACCCAGAACCGGTGTTCAGACCTGGCACCTTCCAGGCCACCGGATCTGCCTCGCTGTCTCGAAGAAATCCATGGTAATATGCCTCAATGGCAGGTCCGTCCCCGCAGTAAGAACCATAAAGGTGAGTGTCTCTCCCGAGGCGTCATTTCTCCAAGGGTCTGTCGGGATTTGAAGCGGAACATCTTCACCAGCAGACCTCGCAAGATACTCATCAACGTTCTTGACAAGCTTCTGGAAGATTCCTGGCGGATTTTCAAGCTCAGACATGCCCCGAACGGAGCTGTCTGCGGGCTGTTTTGTCTTTTTCAAGAGCCATCGTGTGTATAGCTCCGAAGTATTGTACTTGGAGAGAATCCATTGAAGCTCGCGTCTCGATTCCTCGAGGATGACAAGGATCTCCCGCTTGTTTGGCACTTTATTCGTGACGACTCGCTGAGCACAGGCAATAACCCTATCGTATTCGACATCGAGTTTCACTACGGCCTTCATCCTTCTGATATCTGGCGGGTCGTTTCCCACGTCAGACTGCCGGGCGGCCTGCGGGTCTGGGAGGTTGAACACCATGCCCTCGACGGAAAGCGAGGCCAGTTCATCACTAGGCAGCTTCTTGCGACACTGGCGAGCAATGTGCAACGCGCTCAAAAGATGCATCATGGCTGTCTGGAAATTGCAGGGCATGAGATCCAGAGATCAGAACGCGTACGCCGTCAACACCACCTCGATGAGCGGTCGAATATTCGTCGCCAACTCACGTATTGCTCGAGTGGCGTACTGAAGCATCATCGCTAATGCTCGTTCATGATCTGATCGGGCATATTTTCTCTGTACGGATAGAACAAGCGTGCCGCATGCGATCATGGTCTCCCAAAGTTTCACGAAATGGTATGCTATTTGAGGGATCACAAGTCGATAAATATTGGGATCGGGGCTAACGTTGCCAGGAAACCTCGCACGAGGCTCGACATATCGGACGAGGAAAATGACCCAGCTTTGAAATGCATCATGCTCGTGCTGAGACTTGTATAACTTGGGCCCATCCCAAGCCGACAGAGCTGGAGGAGCATAGTTCCCTTCAGCATGCGTCTTGGATTGCTCTGTCCGGTTTTCTCGCCCAGGTTTTCATCCTTGCCGTCCGGGGGAGCAGAATTTGTACAGTCTCTCAGGGAGGAACAGTGCCGCCTGGCAGTTGAAGCGCCGGGGCCGGGGTTGAAGTTGGCGTCAGAGTTTGATTCAAACAACCACTTGGAGACTCTCTGTACGAGCACTCCAACTGCGAGATGACGCACCTGCGACACGAAGGCTTCTCCTCGCCGCACTTGACTCAACGGACCTTGCAGTTCACACAGCCAGTCCGAGTCTTGGGAGCGAACCGCTTGCGCCTCACCTGGACTTTTTCGCCGTCAACGAGCACTGGCATGACGATATCATGGGACGAGAGTTTGTTTTTTTTGTATTTTGTATGTACGAGAGGCTGGATGGTTCTGTCTGTGGCTACGGGTTCGGTCTGCAATGAGGGACTAATCAATTCCTCCGGTCAAATTTTCATGTAGTTCCACCGTCCTGTAGGACTGACTGACAGCCCGATCGATAGACTGAAATTAGGCGGTGGTGTGCAGGGCAGGCTTTGCAAGGAAGATGGTAGAAAGAAGAAGGGAGAAGGCAGCCTTAGCTCACGTACCTAATATCATGCGGCGCGCCGGTCGGTGGTATCGAAGCCTATAGATATACAACAAGAAACCCTTTCCTGGTGCTCGTGCTTCTTATTACTTCTCTCCTCCTCGCCCTCGTTTATCACATCACGTCCCACATCTCATAGATATTGTCCGGTGCCCGGTATCTTGCGGCCTTATATATGGATCTGATGTTTCATGTATGTCACATGCCTCCTTCCTGACGTTCGTACTAGAGCACACAGCATGCGGCACGCAGCCCTGAGAACAAAAGGGAACCCTCCGATCCCGTATAACGTAGCCAATAACATGGACTGAGGGTGGATGCTACCTGGCAGGTTGGCCGGGGAGAGGAAAGAGAGCCTCGCGTTGCATCATCAGCATGACGGGCATCGAACCAGGGTAATGAGAAAACATGGGCAGACATGCATGCATGGAGGTGAGGCTTGGAGGCATACTCGACCAGCCCAACTAGCTGACAACAGATCAACTACCCTAACTAAGTAGCAAACTAGCTAACCAGTACGCCGTCCCCGAACAAAACCATTGCACCCCTTCCGGACCGCGCTCTGGAATCAAAGGCAAATCATACGGACGGAGGATGTCGCCTATGCATCTACTTGTAGGTACAGTGCTAATGCACGGCCACGTCCACGCGAGTCGTTTAAATGCGCCGTTTGCGGCTTGGATGATCTAGGTAGGTACCGTGCAGTTCAGTTTCGCGCCGATTACTCCAAATGGAGTACGGAGGACGCAGGAGAGGCAGGTAGAGAGGACTGTAAGGAAGGGTACATGACCCGTCGAGGCTGGTAGGGAACCCAGTAGAGTAGACCAGACCAAAGCGGGATGAGAACACGGAAATGTGATGCATTACTCGTTCAATCATTCAATCAATCAGACAATTTCTTTTGTTAAGTCTGGGTTGTATTGAACCTGTGACTTTCTTTTAACGATTGGAGCAGCTGTGCACAAGGTCCCCAAGGACTGCAAGTTGATGCTCGAATCCAGACACGCTGCGGGTCGTGAATCACATTCATTTATTGCTCAAGTCGATAAATGCCGGTACTTTCCCGGCCTCCGACAGTGTCTTGCTTTTGTCTTTCCCTTCCCTCGTTTTCATGTGTCAGTCCTTCCGAATCTCACCATTTATACCGTAATGAAAACCCTCATGTGTACGCTTTCAGGTCAGCTCTTACGGTGTCAATCCCCTCTCACTGCCCATTGGTAATCGCACCTGCAAGTCTTTTGCTCATAAAATCAAAAAAGGCAAACTGACTCGGCGTCGCGCCATATTCGTACACAAATCGACTGGCCAGGTAACTTCCAAAAATAGACTTGAGATAGTTGTCCGGCACACGGCTCAAGATCTTGTCCAGACCCACCTTCTGCTGGAGAGTCTTGGGCAGCGCTTCCTTGAAGACCTGGTGTCTAAGCGTTTCGTTGTTCCACAAATCCTTGAAGTTCTGAAGGTCCTCATCCAGCTTGGTGATTGCAAGGGACAACTGATCAGAGAGGGTCGAGCGAGGTACCCCTGTAGCCTCGTGTTCTCGCCAAATGGCTTCAAACTCGAGACGAGCGTTGCGTTTGATTGTCTCTTGCACTTCCTTGACGTACATCTTGTAGAACTCTGGAACGGTTCCATCGCTATCAACGCACATGTTCTCGATAAAGCCCTTGTCGTCAAAGGACAAGCTTGCCAGGACCTCAAGTGACGACGAAGTCACGCCGCCCTTGTTAGCAGAGGCATCCTTGTATATGATACAACCGGCCTTTTCAAGACGAAGCTTGGCGTCTTGCGTGATGAATAGATTGGCGCCCTCGACAATGTAGGGGATTTTACATTTGCCATCCACGATCAGCTTACCGGCATTGGATAGATCAATTGATTCCGGTCGACCACCACAAGGCACGAAGAGGTCATATTGCGAAGCGTCGCGGAGGTGATATATGTTCCGAAAAGTCATGCCGTTATGGACCTTCTCGCCGGAAGGTAACGTGACATTGTTCTCTTCCACCAGGACACGGTATCCCTGGGGTGACAGTTTTGAAATGTCGTAATGTGAAATCATGACTCGCTTCTTCGCCAAACGCACCAACTCCGCGTGATCCAGGCCTGCGGGGTCAACGAGGACACCGGAACCATCAACAATGGCCGTGTACTTCTCGTTGCTCAGAAGGATTTCATTGGAGCCCAAGTCTCCGTCTGGACCACCGGTCTGAAGCTTTCTGATTTTGCTTGGATCCAAGTTCAACTTGCGATAAATGCCCAAGACATACTCGCGGACGGACAATGTCGTCATTCCATATGCATCGTGAGGAATACCACCAAGTTTGGGACTCTTGCCGGTGAAGAAGGACTTCCACCACGGCGCGCCTCTGGCACGGGCATGTTCCGTGGCCCAGTCCACCAGGTCGGCAGTATTCTCATCCGGCCCCATGAACAGAATTTCCTCTTGCCCATGCAGATCGACAATCGGATCTTTAATACCTGGGCTCGTAGGCGGCAACAGAAGATCCATGATGCTGTCAATGTATTTCTCAAAGGCAACACGAGCCTTGTCTTGATGTTGGTAGTCAAGAAGGATGACCCCTTTAGATCCACCTTCTGGAATGTCCTTGTTCTTTCTCTGCTGAGTGTTGGCTAGGTTGTAGTTCTCGTCGAATTGAGTTCGGGCATTGATTGCGTAAAGTTCCTTGTTACGGGACTTGACGATCCGGATGCCACCACGCGCAATGTCGCGGAACCGAAGATGGAATCCCCTGAACTCTGAACCAATGACCAAGAACATCCCGTATAGGGGTTGTGGATATTCGTGATCAGGCAAGAATTCGGTGCTGGGTTTGAGTCGGAAACTGAGTGCCACCTTGGTCGGGGTATAGAAGTTTGTCTTGAGGACCGCTTTGTTGAAGGTTAAGAAGTATTGCATCACCATCTCGTCGTGTTGGTTTTGGGTGGTTGTAGAGATCATCTCAGACAGGGTGGCATCGTCAAGAACGTTTTGCACGTCCAATCGCAGATAACTAAGCGTCGGAATGAAATCATCCTGCTCTCCTCGGGTCTGGACGTAGTGGGTGTTTGCAAAGGAGAGATACAGGTTGCGAATGAGCTCTGGGTACTTGTTGATGATCTCGAGGATATAGTCCGAGGTAAATGTCTCTGTTCGCAATCGCTTCTTGATCTTTGAAAGCAATTCTGCATTGGCGTTCGTGTCTCCTTTCAGCGCCGCAACTAAGGAGGTGTACTCGGAACCAAGCCGGTTGAGGAATTGCTGGACAAAGACATGCACGCAATGGGCGTAGATGCTTTCTTGCAAGCTCAGATTGCCACTGGCAAACTGCCCCTGAAGTTTGTTCTGAGGGATGCAGAAGAGCAAAGAGACTTCTTTGATGATCTGATGGATGGAAGCCTCGATAGGAGGATACCTCGACTTGGCAATTTCGGTACTGGCAGGTTTCAAATATAGAGAGATGACCGTGATGCCGTTGGAAAACTGCTCGACATATTTTCTGGAGCTGGTAACTCCGTAATAGTGGTAGAGATCTGACAGAGCACTGAAAATACCCATAGCCGACCCTTGACGGTAGGCAATGACCAGTCTCTTTTCTCGGGTGCCCTCCATCTCAAACATTTCGATGACCGGGCCGGTTCGGGCAACAGCATAGGTTATGATCTCCTGGTAGATCTCTTTGGTTTTCTGAGTGGCCTTCTGAAGAAACCTCTTTTCACCAATGACCTCAATGTCTGTCTCATCCGGCCCAGGGTTTGGGTTCTTGAATTGACACTCGTAAACGAAGTAGCATCGCAATGATTCCTCCGGGTTTTCCGGCAGGGCATTGCTCGATCTGAAGGACTCGACACGGAAGCTCCTTGCCGGTGTAGAACCGTCAATATACTTCTCGTCAATTCTCTGTTCGTATCTCGGTCCCTCGATGACACTTATTCCGGGCTTGCTTGTATCAATGTAGACTGCATGATCGGACGCC